TAAACCCAGAGCAGTCTGGCCTGCTGGGATTTATTGCTTCCCCACTTGCTGGCTAATTACCTGCAATTGCCTTCCTTCATTACCTGGAGATGTATTTCAGAGATTAATGCTTTGAGAAATGTGAGCTGCTCCTGTAATTACACACTGCTGCCATGACAGATGGGAATTCCAGGCTCAGCTCCATTCCTCCCACAGGACCAAAACCTTCCAGCTTCCATCTCCACACGAGACCCACAGCATTGCCTGGCTTGGCGTGGTTGGGGTGGCACGTGGGAGCACTGGCAGAGGCTGCCCCATCACCCACCTACAAGGGCAATCCATCCTCTTCCCAGAAAAACTAACTTGGGTCTGGGAACAGCAGGCAAAAGCCCTTTCTTCCTCTCTTCCCTACTGTGCATCTTTTCCTCAGCTCCATCTCAGAATTCAGCTGGAGAAGATAACCACTATATTCTCATTTAGCAGTAAAAATAAGGAATAGCCTTTTCTTCTAAGATTGCTTAACCACATGCCTCTTGCTCTGAAAAATGGACTTTATTACACTTAAGCTTGTTCAGCACAAGCACTCTGCTAAATATTTTGTATTTTGATTCTTGTTTCTCATGGCCATCCGAACAGATACATTTCCTGTTTTGGCATGATTTTTTTTCCAGAGATGGTACTAAGCCAGATGAAAGCTATGACCTCAGAATCTTCAATTTTCTTGGATTTTCCAAGGCCTTTGCCTCATGGCAACCAGCACAATGGTGCACCCAACTCTTTACCGCTCTCACAACACATCTGCATCAATTTATTTTGGCTTTAGCTGACGCTGAAGGTTACAAAAGTAACCTACAAAAACTGTCAGGAGTTTTTATTTTATCCAAAGTGAAACCAATCACTCAATAAGTACTGCTTAACCTCATGCAAAGTACACTGAAGGGAATCAATGGGAATATTTTCTTTGGCTTCAGGTGGCCGACATAGCCTTAAAAATTAGGATAGAGTTAAAATTCAAAACAAGTCACATTCATAGTTAGTTTTTTCTTCAGAAAGGCCTGTTGGGCTAAAAAAAGAAGGTTAAAAAAAGAACTTTGGTTTTTCTCTGCTATACTAAAAATGGCACGTTGTGTTTGGTTATGGAATAAATAGTGCTCAAATGTGCAAAGAATTGAACAAGCGTTTGAATGGAATTCATATAAATTTTAAGATGGGTTTTTTCCAGTGGTAAGAGGAAGAGAACTTGTGTACTCTGAGAGCTTTGTAGGAAAATATAAATGCACTCAAGTGATGCACAGAGCTCTGGGAGAGGTCAGACTCCGGAGGTATCAGGATGAAAAGTAAATTATTATTGCTTATTGGAAACCACAACAGCCAAAAAGATCATTAACAGCTCAGGACCAGAGAGCGTAGGGGGGTTAAAAATAGAAATGTGTCTGTGCCTTGATGTGAGACTTATTCACCCTTAAGCTATTTAAGACTGCAAAATATTTGTAGGACAGTATCTTGGAAACACAATGACATGGAAATCCAGGAGATTGAGACTCACACAGGCAGCCCTTGGGGTGGGAGCAGTTTCCTCCTCGGATGCACCGACAGATGTTGTGTTTTTGCTACCAACCTCTCATGGCAAACAGTGAACAGTGATTCAGCAATGGCTCAGAAATGGCCCCTGCAGCCATTTCCAGCAGGAGTCTTCCCCATGGTCTACATTTTCTCTTGGAGCAAGCAAATGGATGCCACGACTTTCCTCTTCAATACCTTAAGATGTTGGGTTTGAGACTTTTTTCCCTTTGGTCAAATCCGGGCTGGGAAATGGTTTTGTGCTTATGGTTTTGGGGCAGAAGCATGCCAAGAACAGGCTGACTGCATGTCATGGACATGGTGTCATACATGGCATACAATTCAACACAGAGTTCAGCTTTCTACTTGCACAAATGAAATTTGGTTTGCTATCTTTCATCAAACCTGGTCACTGTGAGTCACATCAAGGCATGTGCAGGTATTCTTTGATCAGTTCCAGATCCCTGCTTCTCTGATTTAAGTTTCTTTTTTCCCCCCTCTATTCCAGTAAATCCTTTCTAGCACAATCCTGCCTCAAATTTGCTTTTGTTAAAAGCAAACCTTTTTTTTTTTTTTTTGCATCCCAAATATGAAACAACTTTCAGGAAAAGTACCACAGCCACAGTGCAAGTGGTTTTCTGGAAGGCATTATCTTACATCTAATGAGCTCACATGTACTATTTTGTCTTTAATAACTGACAATCCCACACAGTTACCTGCTAGACTGTGGTTTACCTGCTTCTGGTGTCCATATCCATTCTCTCAGGACACAATTCCCACCTTCTAAACTAAATTTCCTGACTTGGAGCATTAATATTTTCCATCCAGGAAAGGAGGGCTGGTGTGAAGCCTCGTGCTTTGCCTTCTCACACGACAGTTAAATGGGGAAGGGAGGAAAAAACTGCAATCAGCAAGTGAGGTTCTGAGGCTAGCCTTGCTTGGACAGGTCCCTCAGGGCAGTGGGAATGTGACAGCCACAGTGGAGCCATTCTGCAGCCAAAAAACTCCCTTTGTACTCCTGGAGATGGATTTCAGGTGGGATTCACTCGCCTCCAAGTGGGTCTCTAAAGCAGCTCAAACACCAGACCTACCTGGGACATTTTTAGGGAGATGTCTGTACACTCAGAGCACAAGGAGGGCTGGGAACAGAACCTGTCCCACAGGAGAAACTCTTGGATATTTAAGTTTATTTCAAATAAGTGTTCAAAGAAAAAGAAAAAAAAAAAAAACCAAAATAAAACAGATTTAGTATATATTTGCTTTTCTTAAAAAATGATTCCATGAAATAATTTTATAGATATCTGAGTAGTAATACAGATTTTTATATACAAAATTCCATTTCAAACAATTTACTGTACAAAAGAAAGTATAAGCAACTGTTACTATTCCATGATTTCAGCAAATAATGAAAAAATTCAGATAAGTATGTGTTCAGGATATAGTTCCACCATTTACAGGAATGTCAGTATTAAGTTGGGAACACTTTCAGGTCAGTATTTACAGATTAAATCCCCTTCGAGGACGATCCCTAATGTTTCTCCTCAGAATAGGTAGTTTGGCTTTCTCCTGGATCTTTTGGGCTACCAAGGAATGAGAGGAAAAACAGGTTTTCAACAAAATGTGTGGACAGAATTCTGCTTGATTTCTCCCCAGTCCTATTGCAGTCAGTGGGCCTGATCTGGTAAACATTTACTAATCAGGCATTACATTTACGTGGGAATAAATCAGGCAGGATTTGGCCCTACAGCAACACGCTATCATAAGTTACAAATTTTAAAAATAGTGACATTCCTGCAAGTCAAAGTACAACAGAAACAAGAGTTAACAAAATATAAGCCCTTTATTAATAAAAATCTTTGGTTGGATCAGTATTTTAAATAAGCTTCAAGAATATTTGGTTAATACCATTTTCTTTCTTCCACATAATTTCTCTTTTGGTACCTTCTTTGGACAGACTACAGAAAAATATCAAGTTTATCCATACTTTAAAACAAATAAATATATCAAAAGCTCTATATGGCATTCTTTTTAGAGTTCTAGCATTAATCTTTAAATTAGTTTGGCAAAGAAAAAAAAGAAAGAAAAAAAGAAATTACTAACCTCTTGAAAACAGTTTGGTTTTGTAACAAACCATACAGTAGTTAGACTTTAAAGAAATCTTTCCTTTTTATTTTCTTTTTCAATTTTATAATGCAAGTGCCATGGACAAGACAAAGCAATAAAAGAAATTAGATTAATTGCACCAATATTATTTGGAAGTGCAGTTTATCGGTCAACAAAGCGAAACAAAAACATATTATGCTTAAAAAGAGCTGTACTGATGGGCTTTAGCTAGTCATGGTAAGTAAGGATTTCAGACTTATACTTTAGGGAAAAGCTCCTTGTACAAAAGACAGAGGATTTTAAGACAAAAGAAAAGTCCTGTAACTAGCTGAAGGTCTGGTCCTGTAGCCCCAGTGCAGGCAGAGCTTCCACTGAAGACAGCAAGTGGGATGCATTTGGGATTTACTCCTCTGGCACAGCCTCTGGGAAGTGCCAGCCACCAGCAGGAAGTCTGTGGCAAAAGCTGGCTGTGAAACATGGGTGCAAGCACTCCCTTCTCCTGCTCCAGAGGGCTACAGGGAAAAGCCAGGCTGGGCCAGGGATGTGCTGAACCATCGGGGAAAAGGGAATTTCCTCAGCAGCTGCAGCGTGCGAGTGCTTGGCAGGGCAGTGAGAGTCACTGGAGCTCTCTGTGTGCTCATTAACTCAGGGCATTTAACAAATGCTCCGTGACCATGGGCCTGCTGGGAGGATCTCTGCAATTGTGCTGCTGCTGCTGCCAAGAAAGCACTGCCCACAATCCCTGTGCTGATGTTTCCAGAGGCAGTGGTGCCCCAGGGAGGGTCTGGGGGCTGCCACAAGTCCCCCCCACATCTTTGGGACTCCAAAGCTCAGACTCACAAAGCTAAACACAGCCTTGGGAAGCAAGTCAGTCTGGTAGGCTTTATGGAATATGAGGGAATACTGATTTTGCATATCATTTAGCAAGTTACCCCATGGACCTTCGAACCCAGCTTTCCAAAATAGTTCAAATTAGCATTATTATTATAATGACTTCAAATTTACCTTTATTTCATTAGCTAATTGATAGGCTAAGATCAGATTCTCCGAGAATATCTCTAGCAAGATTGTCCTAAGTACCTGCATTTCTTAATGCACGCCAATGTCGACAGGATGAAATACAAAAACTCCCTGCATTACTGCTTGTGCAAAAGGAAAACAAAACAAAACAAAACCCCAACATTGTCAGAAATAGAACGTGGTCCTCCATGTTTGCAAGAAGGGCATTTCTCACAAAGATGGGAGTGAAATGGCAGCACATCCTTCAACATGCACCGGGGTGTCCGTACCGGAGTCCTGCCCTTGGCGCCATGGCTTTTGTCTCTGGAATGCCCCAACAGCCTCAGCTCCCTCCTCTCCTAAACGTCCAGAGGATAGGAATGGCAGGAGGACAAGCTCCCACTGCGGCTCCTCGAGAGCCTGGGGCTGTGGTTGTTGCAGTTTTCCCCTTTTCTCTTGTCCTTGTCTTTCCAGGTTTCCAGCATCTGCAGCTTGCCTTGCTCTTCCCTCATGAAGACCTCCACCATGAGAACCTTCTCCTTGTGAATCTGCTGACTAATGTCCTTGGGAATGTCTGGGATAATCCAGTCAACAAATTCACTCATGAACATGACCAAGTTCTGAAAATGAAATTGTGAGAAAGTGTCAGCAGGGCCAAATGAAAGGGTGGCTGTAGGGAAAGGAGAGGGCACTCAGGAAAGAAAAATGAAGAGAGGACAATATTTGAGTTGGACTATGGGACCAAATTCCCCTCAACTGCTTTGTGCATGCTAGAAGTAGAGAAATACATCAGGTATTGATTGACCTCTATGATTTATGTACCAATCCTGACACTGCAGCCACTTAGAAATCCAAAGGAATTTGCAATTGGTGAGTGGCTCATGAGACATCAGGAAGGCAGAAGCAAATACAAGAGGTAAAAATGGTAAAAGTTGGTAAAATACATTCCAATTGAATTTTTCTAATTGAAAAACCTTGATTCAAAGAAGGGGTGATCTTTCCCAAAAAGATAACTTTTAATAAAAAAAAACCCAATAAAAATTTTGAAACGAGTTATTCAGATGAGGCAGACTTAAAACATTTGTGTTGCAATAAGTAGCATCACTGTTGTGATTAAATAATGTCTTTTAAGGACAAATTACAAGATTTTGGCTTTGTATTCAGATGCAAAATAAAACTGGACTTGGAAAATTTTGAAAATCTCATTTCTTGGCTAGCTCTAAAAATGATTTTGGGTTAAATTTATGCTGCTTCAGTGAAATTGTTGATGTCCTATGGGAGAAATTGATGGAACCTAATTAGTATCAGCCTTGTGCTTTGCTGGTCTCTAAGATCATTAAGTTGTTCTGCATCAAACCAGTTCAAGGAATCCCTGGGGATGAATTTTTCCACTGAGGATATACCAGTGACTGGATGGGTGGGACAAAGAGGGTAATGAAGATGGGCAAATTTCTTTGGCTTTTCCATGAAACAATTGAGAAAGAAGATATTTCTTTGGCCCAATAACTTATTTCCAAGTGCCTGCAGTGTCACCTACCTGGAAAACTATCACAAATGCCAATCTTGCTGCTAGGACAGCCCAGAAATCCTTTGAAATGTCATATTTGTTTTCAGACCAGGGGGGTTCTCTATAATCTTTGTACCTGCAAAACAAGACTCAGTAAATCAGAGGTGCAATTCAGAAATGTTGGCACCTGAAGGAGTTATTAACAAACAGCCAAACAATAAATAGAACTGTCTAAAAGAAAGTTCACTGTATTAATCTCTCAGAAACAAGACACAGCTGAAACTATCCCATAGCCTTCAAGTTAGCCTTAAAATTAAAGGTTAATTCATCTTAATACCCTCTGATTACTACATATAATATCGATTTTGCATAAGACAGAGTAAACTACACAGCTCAGGTGATTTATTTTAAGATAGGTAAAAAGGCAACATATATTTTTCAAACTAATTTTAAAGACAAAAATACTGATCTCAGATTCATAGAATGTGTTTAACACGTGATTAGCAAAAGGTTGAAACTAAATTTTGTCAGGTGGAGAGAAGAGAATTTTTCCTTAGTATGGCTTACAGAAAATCTATGTGTTGATAAACAAGACCAAGAAAAGTCATTAAATTCAAAACCACAGCATCCTGTCAATATTTTGAAAGAATTAGGGCTCTGCATTTTCAAATTATTTTAAAATCCTTGGGATAAGGATGGGATTGAAAGAAGACAGAGGCTGGGAGTGGAAAGCAAATAAATCTGGCATTTTGCTTTTGGACCATGATGCCAACACTTCCATTCTGTGCTGAAGCATGTTTGCCAGCCTTGCTTAACCTCTGCCCAGAGAGAAGCAGGAGGAAACCAGGAGAAAATAAAAGCGAGAAAACTACTGCAAATGCAGTTTGGTTGGTTTTGCTTTCATCTCTGAGTGAATTTTCTGTTTAGAGATCATTTCACCATATTAACTTGCACTATTCAAGTGCATAAAGAATATAATACAAAATAATATAATTCAAAGGCAAGGTTTTTTATTTGGTCAGTTAGTGTGATTTTTTTAGTATGCATGTATCAAAGTCATCTTTGTTTCTTTCTCCCCTGGAATATCTCTTCCTTCCTTACTCTTCTCTCCCCCTTCCTCCTTCTGTTGTCCCCTTTTCAGCTTTGCTGGTCTAAGTGCTTTCACTGTCAGAACTGTCAATTCTAAGAATATATTAGCTGAAATAGGTAACCACAATTTTCCTTTAAACATGAGAAGAATAGATATGAATTGTCACAGGCATGCAAATTCCTCCTGTGTGATGACACTATAAATAAGTCCTAAGTTCCAGATAAGGATGCTACTGCTCTCTCATCAGGAATTGGGAATTGGACAAAAAAAGAGGTCATGGTTCATTATATCATGACATGACATCAGAGTGACAAAATTTTCTTCCCTCAAAGCACCATTGTGCTGTTTATCATTATTTGTCTCCTTTCCTGGAAAAGGGAATCCATAATAAAAAAAATCTTTGCATGGACAAGCACTGAATTTAACTAACAATGATCTCCATTTCCCAAAATAAGCAATAAATCATATTCAGGTCTGTGATTACTTTATATGTAAGCAAGATGTTCAAGGCAATGGATCCATCTGATATAAAAGGCTAGCAAGGTGCTCAAAGGGTACTGAAAAGACAAAGAATCTGCCCCAGGAATGTAAGAATTTGCCACGTTCTTTGCCAGCTGTGAAAACACTTGGCATTAGCGATCATTCAAGAGAGTACCTGCATATCTGAACCTCGTAGCCAAGATCCAGGGGGTCGTTGGGAGCTGTTCCTGCTTGGAAATCGCTGACATTAAAAGAGGATAGTGTATGGTTGACGAAGCCATGCATGGTGCCATTCTCACTGTACATGTACAGGTACACGAGGCGTGGAATGAAGTCGGATGTGAATGAGATCACAAATGCCTGAGCCACAAGAGTAGAGAGTGAGCGCGGTACCCAGGCAGAGCTTCACTTCATCACATCCTCAACCATGACTTGCCCAAACTACTCACACCACACTCAGGGGAGCCTGAGGGCCCTGAGAGTGGAGCATTCCCTGCACCAGCAAGGGATTGTTCACTGCACCAGCAAGGGATTGTTCACTGCCCGCTCTCCTGAGGTGCGGTGCATTCCCTGGAGCAGTGCCACGCCAGCTGAGGGGTCTGCATGGGTGACAACCTGGGCCCCCCAAAAAAGGAGCAGCTGCACTTCCCAGCACCAGGGGAGAGCTACCACAGCTCTGCTTCCCTGTGTCCCCATCACAGCTTCTCCCTGTTGCCTTGGACAAGGTCCAATTGATTGATATCCAGCTGCTTTTCCGTCCTGCAAACAACCCACGGTGATTCAACTCTTCAAAGTCTCATTGCATTGCAAAAAAATGTTAATTGTGTGTGGTTCTTAACTTCATCAGGCTAAAAGGATGAGGAGACTAAGCCCAGTTTTATTTTTTTGGTCACAAAAGTTGCATTTCATGCAGTTATTTAAAATTTTCTGAAAACATCGTGGGGAAAAGGCACGACAGTCAAGCGGGCTGAGTTCCTCATGACTTTAGCCTTCCTCATTTATCATCATTATGAAACATTGCCACTGGCATAAATCTCATGTACATGTGGAACAAACAGTACAAAATGTTTTACTTATTTTATGGTAAAGAGGAGCTGTACATTGATCAAAGAGGGAAAACTAACACTGGCTATTGACGAGGAAAGACTACACAGAACAAAAGAGAAAAACAGAGAAATTATTTCCAAAGGAAAAGAGGAGAAATGGGAAGGACAAACTAAGGCAGCATACCAAAAGAATGGGTTTGCCATAGCACAACAGAACCCTGGGGACAAAATGAAGGAATTTCAAGTCTGGATAATGAAAAAAAACCCTAAGGGAGTCCATAGCCATGTGGCCATAAGCCCTACAGAGCCCCTGCTTTGCTGCACTGCAAACATGTTGAATTTCAGCCGGCCTTTGTTTTCATCTTTCCCTCAGCTGAGGTGCAAGGAGGATGACCATTGTGGATGTCTATTCATATAGAATAGTGCAGAAGTACATGCATTAATATATTAAGACCTGCTACATTTTTGTGAAATGTTGAAATAAACTTTTTTTACAGGATTTTCCAAGCTCTCTGAGTGGGGGCAATACAGCTTGAGGGCAGATTTTTGATGGAGGGATTCTGCACTCTGAGGAGCTGAACTGGTTCTCACCTTACCCAAAATAGCACTGAAATGAAAAAATACAAATTATGCTACTGATAGTATTTCAAAAGAGTAAAAGTAAGCAGCTGTGGTAGTATTTGTTTGAAGGACAGAACTGTTTTACAAAAACATTCGGTAAAAAGCAGCAGTGACAGCTTATATTATTGCTACTGCCATCACAGCTTGAAAATAAACACAGCAACTCATCCTCAAATATTTCCAAAAATTTCTCAATCATATACTTTCACTTGATTGAAGGGATTTTGTACTGAAATAAAACTAATGGAGCAGAATGGAAAAGCCAGCCTATTGAATTCAAATTTAATTCATGCTGCTTTACTTACATTTATGATGACAGCAAGCTTTCCAATACCTCTGAGGATATTATACCAGATTCCTGAGGAAGGAGACAAACATGTAAATGCTGTTCTAGTCCTTAAAATGAGATAAATTACATCTGCAGTTAACAGAGTTAGGAGCATGTATGATTGTGCTGAGCTAGTTATATTTTAAATAGAAAAAGAACAAATTATAAAAAATTAATGGCTTGTAAGGAAAAGGAGCCCAACTATGTTTTGGCGCCTTTTTTTTACAGGTTTTGAAGAATGGAATGGAACTGCAATGAATTGCGATTAACACATTCTCAGAAACAAATTAAAAAAAAAAAAAATCAAACCCCCACCACAATCAAAAAAGTCAACATCACTCTCCCAATCAATTCCACCAGCAATCTGAACCTGCAGCATCAAATTAGGGAGCCACAACAAAACACCCCCAAAGCAAAGTCATGGCAAAACATGATGTGTCCTTCAAGTCTAGGATGATCCTAGGCACAAGGATGAGCCCAAGGAAAAACTCTGCCTGTACTGCAGTAGAATGAACTTAGAGTTTAATAACAGATAATCTTCTGCTCTTGCTGCTTGGCTCTGTAACAAGGACAGTTATTTTATTTCTACTTTTATTTTTATTTTAATGAGCTTTTGATTCATAAGTAAGCAGCATTTGGGAGAAGCAGCTCCCTCATTACAAACACCCACAGGTGTGAGCCCCCTGTAAGGGCAGGACTGGGCTCTTGTCCCCACACACCACAGAGCCCAGCTCCAGCTCCATCCACTGCAGTTCACACCCTTCCCACCTTCCTGCTGAGAAGGGACAAAGGGATCCATCTACCCACAGGCTTTTGAGTCTCCTCTCATTCCCAAGGGTATTTCTGAGGCCAGTGCAGAGTTGTTAAATGCGGAAATTTTTGCTTCTGCACGAAAACTGCACTGCCAGGAAGGGCTGTTGATGTCAGAACCGTGTGAGATATTTTGCTATTGATAATTTTTGATTTAAAAAGTGGCAATATTTACTTAATGAAATATTCATCTGAATTTAAAGTTTTGGTCTTCCTATTTTAAAGGTAAAGCCTCAATAAATTATGACAATTCACAGGTAAGCCACAGCTGAATGTTTTGACTTTTCCTATAAATATCTCCCTGTTATTGAAACTAGCTCAGCATAACAATATCCTGCCATCAATCCAGGAATAAACAAACAGGGATACAATAACAATATCCACTTACCTATATCCTTTGCTCTCACTGCTACCGGTCTCCTCAGCTCAGTAACAAATTTTTTGGCATCCAGACGGATTTCAATGATGTTGTTCAATAAAGCAAACAAAGGTGCCAGTGGGAAGGAGGCAACAAACAAAGTTACAAACCCAAACTGGATAACTGGAAAGAAAAAGAAAACATTTCAGTGCCTGTTGTCATTATTTACCAAATGCACCCATCACCACATCGGTGCCAGCCCCTAAATTCTGATGAGGTGATGACTTCTGGGAGATTCAATCCCATTTTCTGTGCCAGCCACAGTTTGCATGATGGCTGCTCTATTTGGGTATGGAAGGGCCACTTGTCACCTTGTAAAAGGCAAGGCAATAGTAACCAGAAGGATGGGGAAGCTCCTAAAACAATTTTTCCGTGGGCAAATCTGGCACAGGGTCACCTGAAGGAGTGGGATTATGGCAGTGCCCTAAACTTGCCATGTTCTACCTGGCAGGTTTTTGGCCTTCACTGGAAGCTTTGGAAAGGACATGGCTGATTCCTGCCTCTGCCAGGAATAACTTGCTTCCTATAACCTGGGATCATATTTGCTTTTTGTATGGATGTCATGCTCATCCTGGTACTGCCAGTGCCCATCTTTCTCCTGTTACTTTCAAATGCTGATCTCAGTAACAGCATCTTTTCTTATTTTTAGGAACTGGCAGCATGGCCATTCAGTTTGTCCCACTGAATTCCCATCTGCTTCAAGTACTCTGAACATCAAGGTCACCAGATATTCTAATTTCTCTCACTCAACATAAGATACTACTTGAAAAAAAAATTCTATGCGAACTGTCAAGTACAACCAGGTCTACAGGCATGCACTGCTCTCAGAAGATTTAGCTCAGATATCAGATAAAAGACTCTGGTGTAGAAATAATCAAATCTGAACTAACTTATTTCCAGTGAAGGGTTCAACTGATGGTAAAATATGCCTCACAATCTCAAGTAGATGCCACTTAATCATTTGCATTTGAAACTTGACAGTGATGTGTTACATGGCTTGAAAGAAAATATCTAAAATATCATTCTAAAGTAAGGGCTTGCAAACAGCAGAGAGCACAATTCAGCCCTCCAGCAGCCAGGGGTGGCTGAAACATGCTCCAGTCCAAGACTGCACATGTTAATAATTCAGTTACCTCATATACACTGTCTGCTGAATGTACAGTTCAAAAAGCTCAGCTCTCCATCCCAATTAGTCACAATAATTACGGTTTAAAATGCCTTCTTTCCACCTCACTCACTCATTTCCATGTACTCAGGGGTGAGTCCAGCAAAAGGCTCGAGGTTATAGTCCACTTCATAGCGCTGCTTTTTCTTCATGTGCTCTTCATGGTCTAGAGAACGCCGACGCTTCAATTTCAGGTATCGTATAAACTTCTTCATTTTTCTGAGGGAAATGGAGACAATTTGCTGAGCACTCCATTCTGCTCACTCAGTGCTCATTTCTCAGTTGTTTTGCATTGCCAGGCACAATAATTAAAATAAGAAAGCACAGAAGTTGCTACTTACGGGATGCCAATCTCAAACAAATTGTTCTGGATCAGCTGCTTGCCCAACATGATAATACTGAGTTGGATACACAACTCCATTAGGCAACCTCCTGGGGCACACTGGGGTGAACAGAAGAAAGGTCAGTCAGAACATCTCCTCTACCCCATCCATCCAATAAGATCCCAAACAGGATAGAAATTCAATTACCTCTTCCATTCGGAAGGAATGGAAAATGTAGACGTAGTCCCCTGGACGTCCAACAAATCTAGGGCACAATGAGTTAAAAACATCAGACAGATTTTGTACTTTCAGTATTTGACTCCTAAAGTAATTTATGTCATACTCCATGCCTCTGAGTGGGACCACCTAATGCTTAGTCCTGAAAAGGCCTCCAAGAAGCTGAAACCCTGAACAGCCCTTCCATCACTCACCGGCCTTTGAAGAAAGCCACGTAGAAAATGGGGGTGTAGGCGTTGACAAACTTCAGCAGGAAAGCCTTGAAAATCAGCCGCTCCTCGAAGTTCTTGTCGGTCTTTGGTACCTCTGGAAACAATGGGACATGGATGAGAAACGTTAAGGAATTATCCTACCTGGAAACATTTCAAGATCTTATAAATGTGGGTTTTGGAGAACATCATCACATCATTTGTTTAACATCATTTATTTAAAAGCAGCTGCTCCTCGAAGCTCTTGTCAGTCTTTGGTACCTCTGGAACCAATGGGACAGGGATGAGAAACGTTAAGGAATTATCCTACCTGGAAACATTTCAAGATCCTATAAATGTGGGTTTTGGAGAACATCATCACATCATTTGTTTAAAAGCCACCTTTTAAACAAAGGGATAGACATGTATAGTTATATATATATATATAAAGAAGCAGTATGGCTGCACTGAGGTCAGTGGTCAGTCTGCTGAGGATCCCAGTCAGACACATTACAATGGCAATTCCAATTTAGTTCCACACCTGCCTGACCTTCACGACAATCATTTGTAGGTGCGCAAAAACTTGACCTGAAAAGATTTCTGGACCTTTGGTTACCGACAATTTCTTGGAAATAATAATAATAATAATAAAAAAAGAAGTTCCACAGTGGAATTTTAGGCACAAATGTGCCTAATCATGAGGCCCAGTGATCTGGGTGCTCAGATTTGACCCCCTGGTGGTGAGCTGAGGGCTCCAACGCACCGATCTGCGTGAGCCACCTGGCGATGCAGCCGTACACCTCGTCCAGGATGATGATGACCACCAGGTTGATGATGACGGCGGTGGCGGTGACGGTGACGCGGACGCTGGAGCGCCCCGAGGGGGTGGAGCTGATGGCCAGGGCGGCGGCCGTGGAGATCCTGTAGATGATCACCCCGAACACGATGGCGAACGTCAGCCCAACCTGCCAGGAAGAACCACCCAAAACCTTACCAAAGGTTTGCCTTCCAACGCTTTGTTTGGGATTTAGAAATAACCTTAAAAATGGGACCTCTGGGCCACACCCCAAGTCCACCCAATACTGCATTAAGGCCTTGATGAAGTGTGGGAAAGGAGCCCCCTTTTTTACCTGAAAATCACAGGAAAAAGAATGGCACTGTGATGCCACAATAGTAGGCAAAAGGTTTCTTTTTTTAAAGGCACCTAAATGTAAACTCCATGTTCAGCAGCATTAAAAATACTACCTATTAGAATTAATAAATTCTAAAATACTATATATTACTAATGAATATAAGTAATAATTGTAATTAATATAAATACTAATATGAAAAGCATTAGGGCTTTCAACCCTGACACCAGCAGCATATACACATGGTGTTTCCTTTGTGATAAACAAAAAAAAATTGTTTAATTGAAACAAATACTCCAAATACTCCATTTGAAACAATGGAGTATTTCAGCTTTATCTACACACCAGCCTTCAAATCCCTTAGACAGGTTAACTGTGCTCTCATAATCACAAACTGATATTAAATCTGATTAAATCAACACACTTCCTGGCACAGTAAAATCTCTCTCAATTTTTCATTGCTTAAGTAAAGGAATGATTTTAAAACATGATTCTCAAAAGGTACTGGATTCTTCAGCTGAGCATATGAGATTTGTTGCATTTCTGTTCTCTGAAAATAGAAATATTTAAAAAATTCAACCCTAAACCAAAATCCCTACACCAAAAACCCAAAATAATTGACTTAGTCTGGGAAATTCTACCTTTGGAAAGGGTTTTCACTATATCTGCCAATCTGCTCCATGACTTGAATTATTATTGTTTCTCTCAACATTTGTTTTAAATGCTGATGCTTTATCAGCAAATGGAAGAAGGCTGTTCTCATCATTATTTTACCTTTTCCTTGAATTAAGTGCTCTGTTTGCAATTCTGTTAGATGGTATAGCTCCAAATTTGACTGATTTATTAAAAATCATTGCAATTATGATTGCAGCTGGCAACATCAGTTATTTCCTAAAGTTTGATTATAAAAATGATGTTGGTATCTACTTTCTGAGAGGGCTCTCTGTACTTTTTAGGCTTCATCCCATCAATGGTGTGGGAATTTCCATTTCTGTGCCCTCACTTTCCCCTCCTCTAGTTTAGTATTCTTTTGTCTTTATTGGAAAAAGACAGCAAAGCAGAAATTCAAGCGTTTGCAAAGATTTCAGATCATAAACCAATAAAATGCTTCAATTTTTCCACTGGAAAAAAACCCATTTTGAACTACATCCATATGATAAAGTTTCCTATCACTTCTCTTCCATACAATGATTCAGTAACAAAAAATTTAAAGCTTTGCCAGGTGATGCTTACCATGAAGATGATGCCAACAAAATTGGTTAAATAGGCTGGAAAACGGTCCTTCCATGTCAGCTTCTCTTTATCCGTCTAAATTGTTTTTTGGTGGGGAAAAGAAAAAAGGTACATTTGATAAAGGAGAGTGCCATTCTGCTCATGTGATGAAAACAGAGAGGGGGAAGAAAAGGCTGGCAAAACCACAACCAGTTAGAAGATGCAGACACAGTGTTTACAGTGACAATTCCACACAGGCAAATTGTTTACTCCGTATCCAGGTTCAGACTGGTTAAGGGCCTGTGCTGGGAGTATAAATAAACCAGATTTTTCTGTGTACTTTTTGAAGGAAACATGCAAATAGGTTGTCATAAACCATGAAGTAAGGTCTCTCTTGCTGTTAAATATTTTCTTTTGCTTTCCCTACAAAAATCCCCCTCCTTCCTCTCCCCTTCCACAGTTAATATTTGCAGCTCTGCTGTTGCACCACTGGCTCTACTGAAATACAGATTTAAGTACTGAATTAATTCATGCTACAGAGTAGCTCCAAGGTGAACACTCAGTTGACAGGGAAGATTAGGTTTTGGTGTGTGGCAAGAGTTAAAATTCATTTGAAATGAGTGATTTTTAGTTTTACCTGGCTATTCCTATGGTATTCAATGGACTACAGTAATAGGAATTATAGAAGGGGGGCTGGAATGAGGTGATCTTTAAGGTCCTTTCCAACCCAAACCATTTTGTTATTTTCTATATAACAACTCTGTATATTCTCTGAGTTCCCTAAAACCAGTCAATCAGCCACTGCCTGAATTTTGGCTACAAAACATTCATTTAGAAGAGCTTTTCTCCTTTGGAGTCCTTCACAAACTTGGATGCCCGGAATTGTTTTGAAACACAGAAAATCAACAGCAAAAGGAACATCTCAGAAGATGATGCACACGTTGTAATGCACATAAAAATATTGCTCAAATTCTATTTTTATGACATGCACATTGTCTCAGGGAAGTGCAAGCAGCTCTTTCAGCACATGGCCCATGCTCCTCTGCAAAACATAACATCCAGGATGGGAAATCTAAGATTAGCCATGCAGTGCCATTCCCAACTCGTGGAGCAGTGTCCCAAAAAATGCTGAAGGAATGAGGCAAGGAAGGGGAAGAAACCCAGAACTGAATGTGAATATTAAACAAAGGTTCAACAGCCAAAACTAAATTGATTTGTGTCTTCCATAATTACTCATAATTTGAGTTTCTTCATAAGTTTGTATAAAAAGAACCAATTTCACCCCAGCCATGACTTTCTTAACTCTTTGTCTCCATTTGTTTGCTGTCTCTTCTGGAAAATATCGGTGCTTCTGATGGGCAGTCAAAGGAAACAGAAAAGGGTTGGGAAATATGGCACTACAAAGCACTGCTCAATTAATTCCAGTAATTAATTCCATATTCTCTACTGACACAGCACTTTAGCACAAGTGAATGCTCTGTTAGCTTGGTTAAGGCTTTGTGTTTCAGCTTTAAGTTAATAAGATATAACAGCAAAAGATAAATGCTTGCCCCAAATCCTAGGGAACATCAGGCAATCCTGCAAATGATATTCCCTTTTTAATATAGGATTGTGCTCTGCTTTCAATTTTATGAGGTGTAAAAAATGTGCAGATTTTTTTTTCCTTTAATTTTTGTTTTTTTAAAATTAGATTCTTTTTGAAAAAGCTATAAGCAATTTTGGTTTAGCTTTAGATATTTTTTCTTTAAGAAGGTTTCCAAGTGTTACAACTGTTGAATTTGAACTTTAACACGCTAGATCCCAATGAAAGATAGCCACCAAGTCTTTCAGAAAAAACCTCTTTTTCTCACGTTTCCCAAATTAGTAACATCCAAATTGAACACAGCCCAAAAACTTATAAATAGTCTGGTTAAAAAAAAAAAAATCCTTTCTTAATTGCTCAACTTTCATTCTCCAATATTAGAGAGCCACCATTCGTTAGTTGTCTAATTAGTCTTCCACATTTAAGACACGAATTCTGATTATACTCAAAAGTAGAGCAAGTTACAGGTTTTTAGTGGAATACAGTAAAGTCTGTATCCAAAATCCTTTACCCAGCCTATCATAGTGCAGCAACCCAAACTGTTTTTCTTCTGCAAGGGATTTTAAAAGGGATTTGATTTGCTTATGGCCCTGAACCACTTACATACAGCATTCTGTAGATTATTGGGAACATACCACCAGCAGCTCTGTAGCATCTGTTAAGAGTGGCCCAGTGGTACTCAGGTATAAATTTACTTTAACATCCATCTTTATGTGCTCCCCTAAAGAGTGTAAATGTTATTGCAGTTGTATTTTCACAGGGTTGTCATAAAATCCCAATTTAGGGAATGGTTCCATGTTGTGGTGCCACTGGCAAGAGACACAAGAGAGGAAATTCTGCCAAATTTTATGTTGGAGTTTTTACTTTTCTCAATCAAACCACGGCACACAAATGGCTCACTCCTTGCACTGAAGGGGGAATAACCTCAGGTAGGATGGGGGCATCAGTGTGCAGGGGAGAAAAGGAGCTTTCCCAAGTAGTTCTGCTGCTGACAGGAAAGGAATTCCAGCTCCAGTGAAAGGGCAGGGAAGCTGCTTGCAGGGATTGCACCATCTCTTGGCAAGAGGCAGGTGCTCCTGGGGTGACAGGCAGCACCTTTCTCACAGTGACGTAAAGAGCAAGTTCAGAGCATAAGTGAGCACTGCCTCGTTCAGTGGGATAAAAGGGGAAGCTGTGGTTTTAAAAGGCAGAAAGTTATTGCCAAAGCTGGAATTTGGCGTGGAAATTGGAGTTAGTACTCTTCATTAATATTTTTATTTGCAGAGAAAGTCCAGCAAGACAGAGAACTTCTCCTGAGAGGCTTTAGGTACTTTTACTGCACAGAACAAGATGGTTTGTTACAGTTTTCTCAAACTTGATTTAGTAGTGTTAGAGGAGCACCTCTTTGATGAGGCTCTGTTAGTCTCTCTGAGCCACACTCCTGAATCTAATTAGTAAAGTCATTTCTAGATTTAATCAGGTCTTGTGCCTGGCAGACCCCGAGCAAATCATGTGTGGAAGAAGACACCTGGAACTTAAACACTGTGAGCATTGACTACTTTTTACCTATTTATTAGTCTTAGGTCACTGCCTGCTGTAACAACCTTCTTTTTCATAAGTGAAACAAATGAATATTTTTACCATACCTCTTTATGTTTGTGTTCTTTTCTCAATGATTTTTCTAAAACTTTTGCTTCATATTCTGCTCTTGGATGGTCCTGTGAAAGAAGTCATATTTAGTAAAAAAAAGCAAGATTACTTATTTTCTCTATCAGCTACAGATGAACTCTCTGCAGGTTGGTTTCCTGATGATTTCTGAGTTTTCTAATTGAGTTCCAATTCACTTGGTATGTCATTCATGTCAATGATAGTTGACTATAATTAAAAAAATGTTAAGTCTGTGAATACAGGAGCAGCTGCAGAACGATTTGGACAGCAATGTGCAGTGCTGTGTAGATGACATTTAATAGATGAGATATGCAGCACAACCTGCAGAGAGCACAGCTCATGATGCTTGGATTTTAGCTACCTCTATTTTTGAAAAAAGTTAAATGTCATTAACTAATTTCAGTGATCCTAAGTTCATGAGAGCATTAATTTTCTGCTGTAAGTATGCAAAATACTTGTCTTTGGGATCCCATAAAATGGTCAGTTGGGGTGTTCCCCTAATTCTGCCTGGGACAGCATCCACAGATTCTCTGTCTGCATTGCAGGAGAAGGTGCAGGAAACACTTGAAAGTAAGAGATGGCCAAAAGACTGAGGAAGATTCATGGGTTCAGAATTCCCGACAATTACGCATTCATAAAAGAGTTTAGAATTCAAAATTATGCATTGGATGGGAAACAGAACGGAGCTGAAAAAAGTCTGAACAAGTGGAGAGGGGAAGGGTGTAAAGGCAAAGCAATCAGTGGGAATTCCAAAGAAAATCTGATGCTTGAAAAAGGAGAAATGGAGATCAAAAGATGGCATTCATCAGTAGACATGGAATAAAAAAGGTAGGAGCGATTTGAAAAAAAAAAAAAATGTTTTCCAAACCTTGACTGCCTCCTTCAGGAAACCAGAAAAAAACCACGAAAAACAAGAAAAAACAAAAAAACAAATAAATAAAAATTTGATTACTGAACTGTTCCAGGTCATATTGTATTTATATATTAAAAGTTACATGAAACAAACATAGGTACAGTGGATGGTTAGACACTACTGGAGAAAACCCAGTCTATTAATATTCTATATTAATTAACATTACTGCAAGCATTGTGTGAACCTGGCATCCCTAAAAACACCAGAAAATGAGATACTTTGTGCTTTAGCATTTCACTCAAAACTCAGACTGTTTAACATGATTCTAGCTTAAGTTTCTCCCAGATCAGCAACAGGAGAACCTTGAATCCTGTGAAAAACCCATGACTGTATTATTTATCAGTGACCAGCAAAACCACAGAATAAAATATATGGAATTGACAGCTGCTGGTTTGGCTGTGCAGAGCTCTGGACTCAGACATGAAGCTCCATTGAAAAGATACACTTAATCCTCTTCACTTTCATGGATGCTAACAAGTTACCAAAAATAAAGGAGCATTTAGTGTCCAGCAAATAAATCCCTATATTCTCCCTCAGTAAATAGGTATGGACCGGTGTAGAAGCTGCTGGCACAGGGCACCTAAATATATTTTGGAGGAGATAAACATATTAAGGGGAGATAATTCCTACAGAAAGGCTCTGGGGGCGAGGGGAGGGATGGCTGTGCCAGGCTCAGCGAGCTGCAGGGTGTCAAAGCCAGGAAGGGCTGCTGAGGTTTGTGTTTCACGTGAGCAGTATTTGTTGTGTATCTATTTAGGACATCTAGAGACGTGACAAGGGAGGTCATACTTCTTTTAATAACAGCAGCAGGGCAAGGCTGGGGGCTGGGACTGTGCTCTGCTCTGGGAAGGTGTCTCCTTTATTTTCTGTAAAGTGGCAAAATCAAAGCCAAAAAGGTGGGAAGCAGTTTCTCAGCTGACTGAGGATTTTCTCTCCTCTCTTTTTAAAACTTCATTGATTTTGAAGGTCTTTTTTTCATACAGATTTGGGCCTTTTCTCCTTTATGCTCTTCAGCAGATTTAGAATAAACCTGGCCAGAGGTATTATGTTTTTTTTTAGCTACTGCAAAAAACTCCACCACCTCCACACCTTGTCCCTCCCCATGCCTCAAGCCCACATGTCTGGCAATGCTTTCTGAGGTGTTTTCCAAGTCAGAGCTTGATCCTGCATCGTTAAAGTTAACAGGAATTTTTCAGTGCTTTTTTTACAGCACTGTAACTTTATCAGCTCCAATGCACTCATTTCTGATTTACAGCAGTGTGTGATGAATGAGGTCCTTGGCTCTTGGCACCCTGACTTCAGCCCAGCAGAAGGTCTGAGCTGTATATTCCATGCCTACACTGCTAGGTGTGACCCCACACTTCAAAAAGGAAAAGAGAATTCACATTTTGTGGCTATACAATTATGTTCCCATGGCAACAGGACCGGACTAGTCATGCCTTTGCTACAAAAACCTCAAACGCTTCACGGATAGGGATTTTCCTTCCTCCTGTAGGATGGAACCCTCCCAGGAACATGAAGCAAAGTCTGTAAGGTCAGGGCAACAGCAGGGTGGAAAGCAAAGAGTCAGAACTGAAGGGACAAACCTCCTCCTCTTCAAACCCAGTCAGGTCCCACCTGTAGTTGAGGCGCATCTGTTTTCTCTTCCAGTGCTCCATAAAGGTGGCAGCTGAAACAACAGTTTAACATGTAACACAGATTACCACATAACTTCATTTCTGTTTCCTTTCATTCAACAGTCAGGTCTGGCTGGGAAACACTGATGTGCCAGGAGCAAATGTTTTATCCAGGTGAGCTGAAAAAAGGGCACTTGTTATATCCACAGCTTCATGTAGGAAGATGCCTGCAATCTTTAAGGGGTCTAAGAAAGCCAGGCAGCCAAACTTATTTAAATATTTGTATGTGTGACTAATAATATTATTGGTCTTCAACTGTGTATTGTTTCATTTGTGAATCCAAAAAACCTGAATCTTATCTGTACAAAATAGGAATGATGGCTCAAGGATATCAAGATAAAGCATTTTTATATCATTATAATTACATCCACCTCGTGGTCACAATAGAGTGATTGGCTGTAATCATCACACTCAAACCCAAACAATCTTGTGGAAGTGTGAAAGAGGAAGCCTTTAAGAGTTTTAATCATTAGAAACCCAGCCATTTTCTTTTTGATGGAGAAGGCTCAGAGAAAAAAACCTCGCTAAAACAATTCTCGATTCCCCATGAATGATCCCAGTCTATATCAGTCTATCTGCCCCTGAGACCGAGCGAGTTCTCAGAGGACATATTTAGATGCTGGGAATACACCAGTGTTGTATAATAAATAAGTGATTATGAAAGAGGCAAGTCTACCAAGAAATGGTGTTCCCAGGGGAGCTTCCCACAGTGAGTATTAACAGATGTGCTCAGAAACATTCATATCCAGAAAAAACAGAGGCAGGGAGAGGGTAACAAAGTTGAACAGAGAGGAAAGGACACCCTCTTGACTGGAGCCAGGCTGGGGCCATGACATTCATTCGCCTTCCAAGCGAAACTTTCATGTGGAAAAGCTACAGCTGAGCCCCTTCACAAGCCACAGGCTTCCTGTGAATCAGGGTGGCCAGAGCTGTGTCTTGAGAGGGTCCTTGTCTCAGGGACCCGGCATTGCCTCTCCTTTCCTCACAGTTCTCACGCTGGCTGGGGGCTGCAGCTTCCATTTACAGCCAGAGATATGGAACATGACTGGGATGCTGCTGGAAATCCTCCCGTGGCACTGACTTACAGCAGGGCAAAAGGAAAGGACAGTGTCTGGAATGCTGGCCTGTTCTGGGAGCCCTGGGGGAAGGTGGCAGGCAGCTGCATTCCTGCTCTGCCATGAGCACCTGCACTTTCCTATTTCAACCATACATGAATTTAACATCACTAATTCAAATCTGTGTGGAGAAAGTTCTTAGTTTTCCAGTTGAAAAAGACCTTTTTGAAACAGTGTTTGGTTTATATGGGATTGTGCCACAATAAAACTGTGTTGACCCCAAGGAGCTTGAGAAGTTTGACATCCCACTTCAAAACCCGCTCAGATTTTGTGCAGGACCTGGAACCTGGCATCTGCCAATCTGCCTTGCTTTGCACAAGAGTGTAAAAACTGGATGAAGAGACCCATAGTTGCTTGCTGTGGAAAGGGAGGCAAACTTTTACTTTTTGAACAAGAGGATAACATACCAAGATCCATGTGGGGCTCCCAGTAATGGAAAATGAGGGAGACCAAAGCTGACACTTGACTTTCCTTTGTGGTACCTGATAATAACCTCACAGTGTTGCATCTAAAACAATGTTATCCCAAACACAGATCCTGGCCAAAAATGAAAATTAAATTATGCTGAATTGTACTTAAATCAGTTCAGATGAATGGTAATGTACAAATAGTTCCCTATGTACTGGAAGAGATAAAAACTCAGGGTGCATTATTAGGATGAAATATAATCCAGAATGGGTAATGTTAATTCACAATGAGGTGTACAGGGGGGCTTGTGCTGCTCTCACTGCTGCTGGGAATATGTGGCCATCAAAGCTCCTCTCCCCCAGAGCCCATTCCTGGAGCAAGGAGGTTCCCCATCCCTCTCCCAGCAGGGATGGGAGAAGCCCTCCATAACCATTTCTGAAGACATCCTCACAAAGATGTCATGAGAGGTTTCATATTTTGACCCAAGTGCCAGAGACATGCCCAGAAAGGGCCCAAAGCATGAGGGCAGCATCAGGATCAGGAAAAATCCTTCTCCACCACTGTTCCCTCTTCCCAGCCTCCTTGCATGATGTCTGCCTGCTGATAAACCTAATTGCATCTCGGAGCATACTCAGGAATCAATGTTGGTTTGTCCTGAAGACGCTAAAGGCCATTACACTTCCCCCCAGAGCCCTCCCCTCAACCCCAGAGTACATTAATACATTTCTTCTGTAATGTTCTAAAGTGGAAGCTGGCTCTGCAAAGAGATTTTTTTTTTTTGGCAAGCTGTGCAATCCCGTTAATGAAATTTTGACATACCACGCAGCAGTTTTATGACAGATGCTTAACAATTTCATTTGCTATTCAGCTTCAGCAACTTTTTGAATTTTAGCCTCCAGTCCAGAATATAAATTTGGGTGTGACAGTTTCATGGGAAAGAAAAAAAAAAAAAGAAAGAAAAAAAAAAGAGAAATTCTTTTTATCATATACTGCCTGTGTATAAATATACTGCTTTATCTCCTCTGTTTCTTCCGTTGTATTTTTAATAATTAAAAGCTTAACATCAAGGCATAGATCTCCTTACCCCAGAGAGCCATGAAGACTGAGAAGAAGACAGTTGCAGGGTTATCAAACAGATGACTTGCACGGGCAGTGGCACAAGCAGAGCTCATCTTCCAGTAACTGCATGTTTTGTCACACAGGGGACACATGGTGATGTTGTTTCTCTGGTCACACATCTCCATACTGCAACAAAGGCACAAGAGAAGGGAAAAGCATGGTCAGGATGGGTCCAGCTTTGTGCTCTGGTGATCTTTTCTTCTCTGGACAGCAGCTGCTTCTGTAGGATCATTGGATATGATCCTACACCACTGCAGGGGCTGAAATCCTCATGTAAGGCTGTCTCCCTCCCTCCTTCCTGCCCCAGAGCCATAAGGCTCTATGCTTTCTACTCTAAGATCTTACAGAATAAAATAAATAAAAATAAAATAAAACACTCCTGTTTTATCTACAGTGATAGATAAGGTACAAGGGAAGTGCTGAACATCAAGAGACTGGAGTTCAACCAATTTATCTCCTCTGTGCTCCATCTGTGAAATAGCAACAGTGACCCTCCCTTTGACTTTCTTCAACTGTTGGAAGCACTACAAAGCAGTCTTAATGAACAAAAAAAATTAAATCTATTTTTTGGTACCCATTATCTGCTTTGTTATTCAGGGCTGGTGCTTGTTGTACAAACCATGTAATTTGCATCTCCAGCTGATGATGCATGCAGGGCGAATAATGCAAAATCAGAGGGCTTTAAAAATGTTTTAATACAAAACTTGCTGAAAGATTAAAAGTAGGAGGACATCCAGATTTTGTTGACATGATCACAGTAGCTTATTTGAGAGATGTATATTCTTGATGCATCTCTCTGTCACACAATGCCCTCCTCAGCACTCTGTGCTGGGAAGCACCAAACCCCCTCATTAGCAGAATTTTGCTGGTTTGTTTTAACATAATGATCTGAGTTTGGGAAAAATCCCAACCACCTGAGCAACTGGCCAAGAATTATTTTTAGGACATCAATGCCAACTGCCCAAGTAATAGTAACAATGAATGCTAACGAGATAGAAATGGGCTGCTCTGTGCCCTTGGGAGAGCTCTGTGCCTTACTGGAAGCTGAGATCAGGGGGCCTGTGGAGGTGGATTAATTTGAAGCACAGCTTCCAAAAGATGAAGTGTGAGGATGGAGAGTTTTAGGAACAAACCATCCTGCTGCAACAGCCACTTGGCACAGATGGGAATGGGGACTGGGGTGAAGGGATGTGGGTGGCACAGGACAAGACCCAACAACAAGAAACCCCAATTTCAACTGTGCTTGGCCTAGATATTAATGACAAAACATTTCTAAAGCAAGGCAACTTTGAGCTTGAAGTGCCCTCCAACAGCAGAATCTATTTACTCATCCATTTTACCTGGGTATATTCTCATCCACAGTAGCACAGCCATAGAGGAAAACGATAATCCCTACAATTGAAGCTGGAATGAGCATTTGAGTATAAACTCCCAGCCAGGCAAAATATAGCCCGATCTTCTCTCCAAAGTATTTTCTGAAATACATTTAGAAAAAAAGAGAAAGAAATGAGAGAGACATGTTTCCTATTTCTTAAAATATAACGTGGCTAAAATTATGAATCACATCTGGATTAGGCATGGAGAAAGTAAGATGACCTGTGGGAATTTTTTTCTTCTCAGAGGACTCTCTTTCTCATGATGCTTGGAGTCCATCCAGAGATACAGGCACCCTGAAAACAAGTTTGTCCCACTGGTCATTTTTTCCCCCCACTGTGTTTCTGCTGTGCAAATTGGTATCTTTGGACCTGCTGTGAGTGAATTCTCTTCCAAAGGCACTTCATTTTCCTCAGAGAGTCTTATTATGAGCAAACAAAATTAATTAAAAATATATCCCCCACAAGCTTTCACTCTGTGTGGGATATATCAGCATGTTCTAAACTCACAGAAAGCTCCTTTTCTCCCAGTGAATTTCCCATTCTCTGGAATCCCCCGGGGTGAGGGGGCACTGAGGGCAGCATCCCCCCAGGGGAACGGGGCACGAGCATCCCTGCAGAGCTTCATCTCTGCCCCATGGAAACTCCACAGCCAGGGCTGAACTCTCACCTCACCAGGTCGATGGGCTGGTACTTATAAAACACTCCATAGCTCGCCCACTCCTCACACAGGAGCTGGAAGACAGAAAGGCACGAGAAAGGTGAGAGCTAAAGCACCACTGGGTTCTGCCCTGGCCGCTGCAGGCCTCACCATGCCGGGGTTTCGGCCCAACACACGCAGCCTGAATTAAATATTAAAAGTAAATGCGATGGTTTGGCATGCTCCAACAGAGAGATGGATTCCAGCACGTTGAAAGGCCCTTCAGCAGCTGGACTGATGGACACCTACAGCAGAGACAGGGACAGCAGATTTGTGATCCATAGGCCCAGTCACCCTGTGGGGGACGAAGCTTCTCCTGACATCCAACCTCAACCTCCACTGACAAAGCCTCAGGACATTTCACTATAATTCAGCATCCAGCAAGAGGTGCTGGGCTGAGGTGCCTCAATTTAAAATTTTTCTTCAGCTTTAAACCACAAGAAGCCAACAATTTCCACTCTTCCTTTTTGTCAGGATGTGGGCCAAGGAAAACAATGATCCCCGTTACTGATTTGCAAAACTGAATGCCTCACAAAAATAGGTTCCTCTGAGACCTTCAACTTATCCTCTATTTTGTAAAATATATAAATAGTGCTTCTCAAACCTCACTTTCCTCCCTCATTCAATTCAGCCAACAGAGTGACCAAGAAATGAAACTCAATGGGGAACAAAGACTGAAACCAGTACCAGTACAGGGAGGGCAACAGGATGGATCTTGTTCTTTGACCAAACAGGATGTTATTCCCTAAACTCCAGGCTATTTTATCATGGGAAACTTGACAGATGTCAAACTCCTACATGTCTCCAGTGAAATGCAGCAAAAAGAAAAGGGTATTCCAGAGCCTGGCCACTGCCCATGCCCATTCCTCCTGCTCACACTTGATCACAGGGAAGTCCCAGAGCAAACCATGTTCCTACAGCAATTTTGGAATTCTCCTGCCAAACCATTAACAGAGAATTTTTCCAAGCTGAACTGCCGTACTCATACAAATGGCTTGACTCATTAAAAAACCCAAAAAAAACAACAGAGCAACTTCTCAGCTTTTACAGAAATATGACGTCAAAAATGTAAATGGGATGTAGGTTTTCCCCTCTGCAACCCAAAATCATGAATCATTATTAATTTCCTTACAACAGTAAGGGCAGGAACTGAAACTTAACAGCAGGCCTTTGTTAAACAGCAACATTCTTGCAAATTTTATATTTATTCTGCTTTAGGTTTCTTTCAACCACATTTTCCAAAGGTTTAAGGCCAACTGCCTATGTCTGGGAAGCAATGATTTGTGACACCTCAACATCCACATGCAGGACTAGCTAAGCCCCTTTCTTATATATATATATTTAAATTTAATCTTTAAAACTAAGTTTATGCTGGAAATTAGATTCCTTTTCTGTGATCCAAGCTCGTCATCCATATCAGGAAAACACTACGCCGAGGAGATTTTGCATCAGTGCCATGTTTTAGTTTTGTGCAACTTGAAACCAGATTTGTGCCTAAAGTATAAATGAATTATCTCATTTATCCTGACATTTATCAGCCTGATATTCAAAGCACAGCTTCAAAGACATGATTAGAGGAGATCAGCACACTAGACCTAAATATTTACTTCATTTCTAGGCCTCAAATCTTTAATTTTCTTGTTAAAAAAGGCACAGGCCTGACCTAGTGCTGGATAAGATTAAAGAAAGCTTCAAGAAACCAGAACAGACATGCCAAAACACACCAAAAGATTACTTGATGGAACTGAAAGTCAAAAGCCAAGGTAAACACTTCCAAACACACAATGAACTTGTGAAATTAGTGAATTTGTGAGGTTTGAGATGTTAGTAATGCAGAAGATAATCTGGACACTTCCAGAAAACATGGACTTTCATTCTATTTTTAGTTGAGTGATGTGTTGCTTAATAATGAAAAGACAGATGTGTGGTATTTTTAACACAAATCAATAGAGGGAGGGAAATAACATTCACTGCCTTTTGATGAGCCATTCGCACCTGAAGGACCAGCACACTGTCAATTTTTGGAACCTATTTTTATGTATAAAGCCTGAAGGTCTTTAAATCTGCTTTTCCTATGACCTGAATGTTCAGAGCATTTCTTTGGAGAAAAAAAAAATAAAATTGAGGGAAAAAAAAAAACAGGAAAGCAAAGTTTCGGGACTGAAACCTCAGCATATACAACACCCAAATTTAGTAGCTCCTCCTGAGAGAGCTGAAGAGGTTGTCACCTCTCCACTTCAGTTTTTGTCTGATGCACAGACAAAAGCCACTCTTCTTTGGGGAAGTGTGATGGGGAGGATGAAGTCACTTAATTTTGAATTTAAGAAATCAGTGTTTCCACAAAGGGTGAAAAATTTGTTTTTTTGCTCATACTTCCTTACTATAAAGTACTACTTCCTACTTCCTTAGGAAAAGTACTTCCTTAGGATAATTTCTACTTGTTTTACCACAGTGAACAAATGTTTTTCATATACAGACAATAAAGCCACAATTTAAAGCATTAACTTCAGCAAAAAGTGATGCAATGCCTCAGTGTACACCCACAGGACAGCTTCTGGCTGCAGAGCACACGTTACAACATTGTGGAGGACCTCTTACTCCTAAAAAATATTCAATATTTATCTTTCCCAATCCCAATAACTTTCATGCTTATGTGCATAAACCGCCTCTGCCTCCCACTCCTCAGATTCTGATCCTCATGCCATGGAATGAAGCAGGATTTATGCCCAGTACAGATAGCAGAATATGACTGAGCATACTCTCATCAGAGCTGGCCTGAAATGCCATTACCTGAACATATGTCAATATTCTTACCAACGTGGCATGAAATGTATCATTACTGAGCTGGGTACTTCATACATATCCACAATACTTTCCACATTTGGGCAAATTTAAATGCTGCTAAGCACTTTTTTCCTTAAACTGCTTGGCATTTAGTGCCTTTTTGCAGCATTCTCTGTGGGATTTTGGCAAAAACATCCAGATTCCAACAGGTGACTCTTCAGGCTGGGATTCTTGTGAAGATGTTAAACCCCCCTGTGCATCAACTTACTTTTCTGTCATTGGGCTCCACATTTTCACCTTCATAGTCACCCTTTAAAGAGAGAGAAAATCTGCGTCATCCAGCGGCTTGTGCCAAGAACTGCTCTGATCCTGCATACCCACGTCTCCCACTCACTTAATGCATCAAAACCAGAAAAAGCAATCTGTAAAATAATGCTGTATTTTAGGAGCCCATTTGTCACGGCACACTTTGTCTTCTGTCGTCGGGCACATTAGGAGAGAGCAATAGTGTCTGTCATGGGGGGAAAAGGAATGAATAAGTGATAAAGGTGGCCTAAAAATGTCCAGGGAAAGGATGCGGTATTGCCATGGTATTTGGGGTTCAGCTCAGTCCACTGGAAAGAGAAGGAACGAGCTGAGAGAGCTGCTCCCTCTCCAGACTCTCCAAACACTCAGGGCTGATTAGATTTGAGGTTTTAATTTGGAGCTCTTTATTGAGCAAACTAAAACAATAAATAACTTCTATACAAGACTATCAGCAGCTGTCCAAAGATGTGAGGCTAGAACAGGAAGAGAAGTTTATTTGACCTTACTTTCTTGATTTCTACACAGCACTGCTGTGGTTTGAGAGCCCTGACATGTATGACAAACATCAGGCAGACAAAGACACTGCTCTGCTCTTGGGTGCTCCAAGATAAAGCTCTCACAGTCCCATGTAAAGCCAGTGTGAGTGTGGGGAGCAGAAAACCAGGAAGACACACTTCACCCTCAAATCCCAGGCCAGAAAACCAGCACTGGGCTCTACAGCCTTTGGGCACTCACACTCAGCTCAGGCGTGAGCAGTGTGACAGGCAGCCCCTGTGACATCTGCCAAGCTTTTCTGCAGGCTAAGAGTGTGTGTCAGTTCTAGTTGCACCCTGAACCTCTAAATCAGAAGGACACCAGCAGCCAGCTCTGTGCTCCTCTGACACATGGGGGGTGGGGAGGCCCCTGGATGGGGGTCCCTGGCTTGTCTTGAGTGCCACCAGAATTCCTGGGCTCTTACTGATGAGCACCACAGCTGAACACACCCTTGACATCTCACTGAGCTGCTCAGAAGCAAGTTTCATCAGCAGGAAGGTCTCCAGCCACATCCAGCCCCATGGAATACGTGACATCAGATCCTTGCTTATGGTTTGACCTGGTTGCACGGACACACAGCTACTGACACCTCCACAGGGAGATGTGGCCAAGGGAACCAGCTACTTGGTGCCCTGGTAATAAATGTGTTTCTGGCACTGGTGCCAGAGATCTTGGGGGCAGAAGGTCAGGAAACAACAGGAGAATTTAATTTGCTAAAACACTGTAACAACTCTTCTAATGTTACATTCAAATTTATGATCATCGGAGGTAGAACAGAGGTGGGGAATCCCTTAAAAGCAAGCAGAGGGATGGAAAAAACATGCAGAAGTTACTGCAGTCATGACACAAGTGAGAAGAAAGTCAGTCATGTTTGGGATGATGCCACCAACACGTCACACATGAGGGATTTCTTGGTGACAGACAGCAGACGTGTAAAATATATTGCAAGATCACTTACGTCATGCAGAGGATATGCAGCACTGTAAACTCCATTGGCAAGCAGGCTGGTGATCCCTTGAAAAATAAAGACATAATAGTTATTTATAATTTCAAGGTTAGACAGCCTCACTTCATCATCCTTCCAGGAGATCTCCCTCAAAATAACAGCCATTTGATCAGATAATGATTTTGCTGCCATCTTTCCATGTAGTTTCATTTTTAATCATATAGGTTATTATACATGACTCATTTTATGAAATGGAAAACTGCAGAGAGCAAGAGCAAGTCATATATATTTGAGAATCAAGAATTAGAAGCCAATGACTTGGAATTAGTCATTAAAATAAATTACATTTTCTGAAAAGTCAGTTTGATTTAAGGGCAAGCCTGAAGATTTGAAAGTGTAGCAGAAGGCTGGATCACAAGAAGAATACGGCTGGAATTGATGGCACAGGGAAACCAACATCCACACACATCACCCACGCAAAGTGTTGAATTCAGGTTTCAGATTGATCAGAGAAATTGTAGGGAAAGCCTTTGCGAAGACCTTGGCATAATACTTACCATATTTACCACATTTTCGTCTTTTATTTAAAAGGGCAGTTTCCTTCTTTCTTCCCTCTCCTTTCCCTGTTTACACAGCCGTTTATTAGTGACATGCATGAGGCTGAAAGCAATTAGTGCTTCATCTATTAAATGTCTGTGGCACAAGGGACTGGGAGGAGTCCTGCCTTTCCCAGGGGTGGTGTCACTCCTTAACTGGGGGCCAGAGGGAGGAGTTGGTGTGGAAGTTTGGAGGAGTGCTAGCACCATCCCAAAGGTGGCTGGACCTGGGCCTTTGGAGGGCTGTAGCTCATTAATTCCCTAAAGTTCTTTCCTCCTGCAGCTGCTGGCTTTAATAGAGCTACTTCCAATTCTCTTCACCACGTCTGGAGGCATCATGTTGCCCATGAACATACATTTGGGGATGGAATGAACCAGTTTTGGGTGCTGAGTCAGAGCTAAGTCAAGCACTTGTCTTTGTGCAGGGCAATGGTGATTAATGCCAACTGAAAAAAAAAAAAAAAAAATATAAATCTGGCCACTGGCATTGGGAAGGATTTGGAAAGACTTAAAAAAAGAAAAGAAAAATGAGGTGTCCTGGTGAGCTCCAAGGCTGTCCATCAGCTCATGGCTAAGAAAAGAGTGTGGGACTGGGTGTGAAGGAACAGTGACTATGAACCAGGAACCAGCTCACTGTAGAGTCATTTTTGATTGCTCTTGAAATGAGGATTGTTCAAGTTCATAAACATTTTTGAGATACTAATCATCTGCTGGAGGAGCAGCTCCAGGAGTGCTCAGTATCTTGCAGATACTGATATTAATTTTCAAAGCCCTATTTAAGATTATACAGATCTATGAATTGTCTGCAAATATTTCCACACTCCTGGCAGACACAACTGCTGAGCAGATAAATTATTTTTCTGGGGCTGTGAGAAGAGCTACATAGTCCCCTTCTACTACAGATCTGGATTTAAAAGTGAAGCCAGATTCACATTGTCACAAAATTTTCCCAATAAATAACAAAAGCTGCATTATTCCCCTGGGCAGCTGCTTTTTTCCTGCTGGGCAGCGGTGCTGGGGCATTATCTGTATTTGTTTAAATCTGTTTGCCACCTCTGCTGGGTTGTAACCCAGCATTCCAGCACTGGAACACAAAGGAGCGGATTGAGTCATGCTGGGTGGGTTGGCCTGATGGCATTTTTATTAGCAATATTGTGTGGCCTTGCCAGTCTCAGGTAGAAGAACCATCCAGGAATCCTAATACGCTACCACACATGAGTGTCTTCCCTATCCAATGAATCCCTGCTGTGCTTCCCATTTACTGGCAAAAAAAAAAAAAAAAAAAAAAAAAAAAAAAAAAAAAAAATCAACTGAGAAACCAACTCCAAGTCAAGAATTCAAACTGAGCTCTGTGACCTTCCCCTTTTAAGAGCCCAAAGATGTAATTTCCAGTGAAAATGATCCAGCACCAGACTCAAAAAGGGTCTCGAAAGTCACAGAATAATCTGAATTTCCCATGCTACAGAGAACAGCACTTCTGTTAATACTGGCTGGACACCAAATTTTAGTGTATATTAGGAGTCAACAATTGTGCATTGTATGTTGTTACTTCAACACAAAAGTCAAAGCATGGAAATAATTTGTGGCATAATTGTCTTCTATTATTTGATGTCTTTCTAAGCAGCTGATGGGTCAATATTGAACAGAACTACCTGTAATTCAAGTTCCTATTGTTTTATTTAACTTCTTGTAGGCAAATACATGCCATATCAGATTTCAACAGTTACCAAACATTTTCTTCCATGTTTGCGCACTTTTCTCACTTTGCTTGGATTTACCGTTAACTATTTGTTAACTTTGGTCCCACAGTCAAGTATCATGTATAAAATAAAGTATATAACAGCTGAGCAGGATCAGCTGCCAACAAATCTTCAAGGTGGCCTGATTTGCAATTCATCTTTATTATGAGTTTAATTCTTACAGCACAAACCCTAGGGCTGAAATCCTAAAACTCTTGGTCGTGGTAGTACAAACTTCATATCCCCTGAATTGCAGCACCTGCTCTGAGGGCTGAGGTGCCCAGTTCCAGTGCAAGCCTTGGCCCCTGGCTGCTTCAGGGGGCTCATCTCAGTTCCCCTCAGGACAGTCAACAGTCAAGACCATTCCCCTCAAGTCACTGGAAAACCATCCCACTATAAAATCTGGGGCTCCTGCATGAACGAAATGGGCCAAGCCACAGATTTTCACTGCAGGTATTGGATTTCACAGAAACACCCTCAATCCATTTCAGGGAGTGTAGAACACAGAGCACATCTCATCTGCTGGTTTATGTCACCATCCATCCTAAGTCACATCTGCAGGGGCTACATGCTCACTTACCATTTAATTTAATCTATAAATTCACATTTGAGAAAATGTCAAACAGCTGCATAAATTGAATCAGATTTCCAAATAAAACAATTACATCCACATACATTGAATTAGAGAGCAGGGGGAAAACCTAAACTCCACAGCCATTTACAACATATAATTATTTTCAATATCTGAAAAAGATATTGATCTTAAAGCTAAATAAAGTTCCTTACCCATGCTATATTTTGCTTTGGTACACGTCGTTCTTTTCAATATTTCATAAACCTACAAAAGCAAAAGAAAAGGCAGGGTTACTTCAGACACCGCCAGTGAAAAGCACAATCTTTTTGTGTACAGCTCAAATATTGGCCAAACCAAGATGTGGATGAAGTCATCACTCTTTAATAAAAGTCATGGTGTTCAGGAGAGTGGGGCTCAGAGCTCTCTGTGCTGTGCTTTCTGTACAGGAGAGAAAAGCTTAGCTAAATAGTCAGCTACCAGGAGAACTGATGGGGGCAAACAGGGTTATATCTACCCCTGCCACAACAGGAATGCAATATTTGCTCATGTTAGCCATTGATTGGAGCTCAGGGGTGCTCTTCCACCTGGAGCAGCTCTTCCCTGGCCTCCAGGGCACAGGCTGGCTCCATCCCAAGGAGCCGTGCAGAGCTCTGGGCTCACGGCGTGTACAGAGCATGCAGCCGTTTATCAAACTGGACTAACACAGGCTGACCTTAACATCTCTGAGCCTGCCTGACCTCAGTGGCAAAACAGATGTATTTATTTTGGGATTTATTGCACTTATTGTCGAGTAACCTTTGCACAGCTCAGCAGGCTGCCCGCGAGGTTCGGCTTTTGGCCGTTCCCGTGCGGCAATGCTCTCTGGCAGGGCGAGCAGGCAGCACAGGGAAACCTGGAGCAAAGGCACCTCCTGCCCACTGCCTGGCCTGTCAGCATAGCTGGGGACTGTTTCCCAGCTCCCTAATCTGTGTGCTAACTGGACTCTTGGCCAATTCACTGGAGGAAGCAAGTGAGGGCATCCGGGGCAAGTCCCACAGCTCATCCCGAGTCTACATACGAGTCTGTCGTCTTGTAACCCCGGTGAATTAAAGGGCTGTCACAGACAGATTTCCAGTTATATAATACATTTTTTTTATTTTCTTTTTTAATAACTAAAAAGGTCTTTGGCTTAGTTTCTATTCATCAAAGACTCATGGGTAGTGACTAGATTCCTGTTCATTTCGCAGTAGGTGGAAGGGTCAATATTTGCACTGCGGTTCAAAAATACATTTGAGAAAGGCAGGGGAGAACTTTAAGAAAGAAGAATACAAACAGCAATGCACACAGAATAAAATGATGTTGGGAAACATTCAATATGTTCTTCATTACTGGGTGATTTGCAGGGATTTCACACAAAGCAGCACAGCACCAGCATTATTCTTATACGCCCAGTGTTCCTTCAGTTGTTTAAAAAACCCTTGTCCCTCCTTTCCCTCTCAGCCTCTGCTCTGAGCTCCTGCTTCAGTCCATTTTCCAGTCAGTCTTGCTCAATCTCTTGTTCCATGGAGCCATTTTGTCTTGCTGCCTTGCTCAGCCTGTCATGAATTTGAACTCTTTATTTGTTGAGTTCTTAATACTTACAAGATTTTTTTCCCTATACATCTGGACATATAAAAGAAAGCCTACGAACAAAAGCCAGGATTTTTTTCCCCCCAGTCTCAAGTTAAATGTTTTATTTGCAAATAAACCAAATCCATATTTGTCTTTTTCTTCCCCATTTCTGTGCTCCTGCATCTGCCTCCCTGGTCCAGCTCACCTCACCCCATAACCAGTGCTCACATCAAACCCCTGCTCTTCAGGCTGGTGGGGAACTACTACTGTGGAATAAGCTGGAATTTCAGAGCAGGAAAGGGAAGTTGGATATCTTACACCCCTTATCACCACAGCAACGAAAGGCAGATATGACTGGGATATAAGCTCTTTTGCAAACCACTTGGCATCCCAAAAGGCTGAAGTTAAATAGAAGATAAAAGCATGCTGGCAGTCACATTCCAAGGCACCAGTTAGGAGCAGTGGAATGGGGCAAAGAGTCCCTGTTATCCTCTGAAATGTGCTGCAGCCAGGGCTGCTTGGCACTGCCCTTTCCAGCTGCCCTGGATGTCACATGAGCTGGCCTTTCAATTCCTCCTTTGGTGGCTAGAAATGAGGCTACACCTTCTTCCCCAGCTCTATTTTATGTTCTGTAAGTCAGATAAAAGCCATCAACCTCAACACTTTCAATACCACCATTACAGAGAATGTCCCCCAAAAACCTATAAATAATATTCCCTGTAAACACCTGGCTGTTTTGTTGGAATTTGTCTCAGGGTATTTAGCAGCATTTTGCAAAAAGAACAATGTATATTTACAAAAAGTTAAACCCCTCGTGGGTGCAGGCAGCTGGTGGGCAGAAGGAATGGTAAAATCTAAACATTCCCAGCTGGTGATATCTCTACTAAGAAAATTACCCATGAACTAGAAAGAAAATCCAAATTAATTTCCAAAAGGCAGCAACCTGTTGGCATCAAACACTACTCAGCACTAAATCTGGAATCATTTCAGTACCTGATGGCACAGGAGGTCCTTGGAATTTGGTTAAGAAAGATAAACTTGAACAGGCATTGCACTAAAGCTGTTAACACCACGACTGAGGCAATATCCATCATAAATTATTTATAGGCAGTACTTACTATAGTGCTTCTTGTTTTACTGTCGAAGAAGGAATCTTTGTCAGACAAATCAAATCTGTTAAAAGATTAGAAGGATACCCATTAGGTCAAAAAAAAAAAAGTCAGTAATTTCCTGTTCTTGTTGACCCCTTCAATATTTTCATTTCTCCTGGGAAACTCTCAGAGCTCAAATTAAAGAACAGCTTGTAGAAACCATGTTAAAAAACAAGTCCAACCCAACTCCCACAATTTAAAGAGGCTGCTTATACATTTCATTGGGTTTCTGTCTCTATAGGTTTTTCAGCACAAAAGAGAGTGTTGACACTCATTTAAGTTGAATCCCTGACCACTGCTGGCCTTGAATTTCCCCTCATAATCTTTAATTTTCCCTGTGAGGCCTCTGTTTCCTCCCTCATTCAGCAGAGACACAGGTGCTGTTCCTCGAAAAGCCACCTGCAAACAGTGAGAGACCCATCAGGAGCATATTCTGGACCTTCCCTGAACCTCCAGGCATGCCCTACACGCAGCCAACACACAAAGACATTTCCTGCAGGCCCAAGACAGGCCAAGATGTCACACACACTGCCTGGCCCGAGCCCATCAGTGCTCTGCATCTCTGGATGAAGCCCTCAAAGCCCTGGGGGTGCAGGGAAGGGATCCTGCCCTAGGACTGCTGTTTGTTCCAGCTGGCACATCCATAAACACGGCCTTCAAAGTGACTCCTCTGGGATGCTGGCCAGGGAAGAGCAGCAGCAGAGCAGTCCAGGGCAGGAGAAGCTTTGGCCGGGCTCTACCTCGTGATTTTTTCCCTACACCCACATCTACAGCTGTTCTTGCTGATCTGGGATCGATGGCAAAGCCACCTCTGACTTCACAGCACTTCAAAGGCAAGGCCTGCTTGGCACTACCTGTGTCAGCTGCCCACAGCAGATATATGAAATTATTCTGAAATTTATCAACCCACATCTCTGGCTACAAGTTTTACTGAGCATTTCATTTAATGTGGAGAAGAGACTGTTATAAATCATGTTACAAATCCCCTTTTGGCAGCCTGACAGGTGAAGTGCACAGTTATACAGATGCACATTATGTGCCACAACAGCAACTGAAACACACAGAGCCAAAAAAAGCCCCCAAAAAGTAAATTTACTGCAAAATAGAAATATTCTTTGCAGCAATGCCCACCAAAGTATTATTGTTCATATTCCCATTCATGCTCTGGTGAATGGGAACATGAACTGAGCTGCTGTCAGAGGCTGGAACCTGTGGACTTGGATATTCAGGGAAGGTTTCACTCACAAGTGCTGCTTCTCTCTGGAGAAGGGGTAGGAGAGGCGCTTCACCGTCTGAGGTTTGTGCTCTGCTACTTTGGGCTGGATGGGCTCCGTTATTTTTTGAATCACAGAATTAATCTTTTTCAGGAGGCCGTGGGTCTGGTTGATCTGATACATCTGAGGGGTAAAAGAGGAAAAAAAAAAACCAAACAGTGAAACTTTATTGCTTTTTGGTTTTTCATAGGTCAGAGTGAACTGTGAGGAATCAACAAGCAATTAGATAAATATATCACAATAAACTATCGAGGAGTGAAGTTTACGTTCTTGAAATCATCCAGAAAGAAAGGGATGGGAAAGTCAAACCAAGGGTTAGGGAACCACAGGATGACAACAGAATTCTTTATATAATTGTGCTTCTGATTAAAATCCCTGGTAAGTGAGGCAATAATGGGAATTAATATGAAATCCAAACCAAAAGTGTGGTTTTAGTGTTGTAATAAATGATGTTGGGCTTGGAGACTGTCTCTGGCTCCATTATGGACTTCTTTGTGCAGTCTGGAACCTGCACTTAGTCCATGTTTAAATATTAATCCATCTCTGAGCTGTGCTCATTGAGCAGGTAGTTATCTATCTATCACAGGTGATTTAGAATTGATGAAAATACACTGTCATTCCTTTAATGATATTTCAAATATTCTGAAAGGTAATTTATTTTGTGGTTGAGTGGCCCCAGCTCCTGCAAACATGACTGACTGTGTATATGAATAGTCACTAAACCCAGCAAGACAAATTCCTATCCTTGTGTTCAGTTTTAGCAGTCTTCAAGTAAGAAAAAAATGCCCAAAAGACACACAGAAATCTTGCCATCAATTTAAACTTCTTTTTTTAAAACACACTGAGGATGAAATCACTCTCATCATGTACAGACAGTGGTAGCAGCCAGAGATTCTTAATTTCCATTCTTCCTTCCACTTTTTCCCTCTGCTGCCCCAAGCAAGTATGTTTGTGACTTTCATTTCTGGTGCACATCAGTTAATTGCTTTGAAAAAGCTCGTGGAAAAAGCAGTCTGCATTTATAAGGTGCTCTGAGGGGAACAGATGTTTAAACTATGCCTTCATGAGGAAAACAAAAAAAATCAAGACTCACCTTTTTCGTGGGCATCTTGAGCTTAAGGAATTCTGCCTCTCGACACAATACATTCCATGGTGCATGTATTTTTACAAATCCAATCCCATGGATTTTGGTCTTAAAGAAAAAAAAAAAAAAGCAGGGGAAAATGTTACTGATGAGAGGAAATCAAATACAGTACCCCTTGTGATTCATACATATTTAAGGAACAAACAGTCCATTAGGGCCAACATGATAAATCTCATTTGTTTGAGAGAGCTGGTTTCTAACAACAGGACAAACACTGAACACCTCACTGTGCTGAGCTGCTATAGAATGTAACTCAAAAAATGCTATTGTCTCCCAGAGCAATTACCACAAGGTTAAACAGATAAAAACTGTTTGGGAAATAAAAGCTAATGACTGTGGACACAAATACAGGCTGAGCCAGTTAAATTTGAAGCAAAGGCATCCAGCCAAAATGGTGTGATTTGGTGAGGGTGCTGTAATTGCTGGGGCTGAGAGAGTCTCTGCTGCTCATACCTTAGAATCAAATGTGACTATCCCCATTAAGGCATCATAGTTAGGAAAACCAGTAGGAAGAACTCCACCAAACAAAGCAAAAGGAGGACAGAATTTAATGGCAATATTAGTGGTTTGCCTGCAGCCCAGTAATTCTCGGAGCTGTGTCCTAGAGGGCTGGACATGGATGTTTGCTCCTGGCACTCCCACATACACCCATGTTTGCTCCCCCTGGAGCAGCCGTTCCAAAGGCAAATGATCCCCAGCTGGGAGGCATTCAGCAAACAGAAGAGAAATGAACTTCACTTCATCTTTCTAATCCTGCTGCTGCACCAACTCAGTTATTACAATAACTAGCTTCCACACAGCTGTGCTCTTACTGGCTTTCTAGAAACTGGTTACTCAGAGCACCGTGGAATAGTTTGGGTTGGAAGGGAGCTCAGGGCTCATCTAGTTCCATCACTCCTGCCACAGACAGACCAGAGTGCCCCAAGCCCTGTCCAACCCAGCCTTGTTTTAATCAATTATTTGTGGACATTGAGCCACTGACCACAACTCTCTGTGTGTGACCATCCAGCCATTTCATTGAAGAGAGCTTAAGTGGTTTATTAAACACCATCTGTTTAAGAAGCCTTTGCTCTTTTGGAATCAGTAAGGGCTCCAATGCAGCTTTGTGGCTTTTCAGGCCCAAGTGATTGCAGATCTTTCCCCCTATGTGGATGCGCTGGCTGTGGAAGCTGATGTAAATCCCCACATCTTACTTTCATGTCTACACTTTCATCTCATGTGGTTTGGTGTTTTGCACTGAAAGGACAGGGTTCCCTCTCTTTTACAGTGTCCTGGCTTGATCCCTGAGCCCTTCTGCATCATTTGAAATCATATTACATGTTATAGGTGGCACCTCCCATCTGAAAAAGGATTTCAATATCTATGACTTGGCACAGACAAACTCCCTGTTTGCTACAGCAACCTGCAAGCTGGACAGAAAGCAAGTCTGATTTTCACTGTTAGACAGAGAGGGGAAAGGTTTTGGGCTTTTCTTGCATTGACCATGTTAAGTATATATATTACATCTACATAATATATAAAACATATAAATGTCTGTAATTTGTGAGTAATAGGTGACAGATTTATTTTTTTGCAGGCTGTTCCCAGGTTGAAATGCTGATCTCAACTTTTAGATCTTGTAAATAAAACCAGCACAAGTGTTTACCCTCTCTCTCAGGAGTCTGGGGCACATTGGTTGGGTCAGATAATTGTAGCAGCTTTCTTTGAAATTAATACTGCTGTGTCTATTTCTACTAATCACACACTGGCAGCACTTCACATACATCATTTTTTTACACAGTCTAATGGGCTTTTAATAGAATATCCTGTTTTCAGGGTGCAGGTGGAAGATGTTACAAGCTGTACTGTTCATGTCTAAGAATGGAAAGAGCAAACTGTAACACAGACCCATGTGCTCCAGCAGGAGCGTGGACCAGAGCCTCCTGAACTAATTTAATTTTCCTCAAGCCTATACTGAGGAATAAAGATGACACTGCCTGTATCTGATTTTTTTTTTTCCCCTCATAGCTGGAATTACCAGAGGATCCAAGCCACTGCATACTGTACACCCACCAAACTGGGATTAGTGTTCAGAGCAGTTTAAGCCTCACTTCCAGATGGCACAACACAGCCGTGTGGCAATGGTGTGTGTGCCACAAATCCTGGCCAAGAAAAGTCAGGAAGCTTCACCTCATCAGGGCATTTACAGCACCATGGCACACTCCTGTGCAGCCAGCTAAATCAGTGGGTGAGGATGGCACTGACTGCCAGAACTGCAACCAAATCCTGCAAGAGCTGAGCTTGTGCAACCTTGATCAGAGCCAGGCTCACAGGGACAGCTCAGCACCCCCCAGGACCTGGCCACCAGTCACCCTCTGTAACCCTTCTAAAGGGATCCTTACATCTTCATCACGTTCCAGCTCCAGCCCGGCCTCCACGAGGTTCCCCTCGTACTCCTCCCTGCGGAACCTCTTGTCGTCCTCGTGGTAATCCATGTGAGGCTCAGTGTCCCCCATCTCCAGCTGCACCCCCTTCCCAGGGAGGGGCTGGTCCTGCCTGGTGCTTCGGACACTGGCATCGTTCTGCTGAGGTCTCCTGGCCAGAGTCCTCCCGGCTGAGGACTTCTTGTAGTGGTAAACCAGGATGTAGTCCACCTTCCTCTTGCCATCTCTGAAGTACAGCCCGTATTTGCAGTCAGCATCCGGGTTTTTGGATAGGGAATTTAATAACTGTGTGTGGAGAGGAGAAGAGAGAAGAATAATGAATGCACAGCCCAACACAAGCACCAGACAGACCATCCTCTCCTCTCAAGGCTCCTTTTGCCCGGAGCACACGATGACCTCTCTCCAGACAGCCAGCAGATGGGAGGGGTCCCCCCCATGCTACTTACTCCAAAAATTTTTGCAAGTTAACACCTTCAATTTTACTGATAGCCAGCTGGGATTTTATTGGCCAGAAATAAATAGATTGCATGACTGGGATTTAATCTAATCACCAGCACACTGGTTCATAAGTCAGCTACTTGCTGGGTTTGGTTTTCTCCTTTGGGGTTAATCGCCGCTAAGATCGCCTGTCCTTTTCCACCCGTGACATCTGCAATGCTGCAATTCTGACAAATAGATTAATATCATGTGGAAACATTTCTCACTTCTCTTATCTAGCATTGCAAGTCCATATCATCTGAGAAAGAGATCATCTTAGATACAGACTGAAGGGAGCCAGCTGCTCCTGCGGCACCGCCAAAAACGCCATGGAAAGTGGCCAGGGAAGTGGGGTCACTGCTTATTGAGTTCACCACTTCTTTTTCCCACTTATAAAACCTATGTCACTATGCAGTCTGATGGTGGCAATGGCTTTATTCCCAGCCCGGGTAATGCTGGGTAAGTGTTGCAAGATACATGAAATGTACAACTCAAAACACAATTTCATTTCCAAGCATTTATCTGAAAACTGCACAGGGCAACTGTAGAAACAAACAAACAAACAAAAGGTACTAACAATTAATTTATTTCTACTTTTGTAACAGTTCTCCTGCATAATTCACAATTCTATCCTTGGAGATTTGTATAATATTAAAAAAAAAAAGGGAAGAAAATTCACTAGTAACTGGCATCTGCTTTCACAAAAAAATACCCAACACAGGAGTGGCTTTGCAGTGACCAGGGAACTCTTCTGGCTTCTAAGTTTATAGAAGAATGTTCATCCTCCATCGAGGGAAAAGGAATTGTGCTCCAAAAGAGAGCAATTGGTCATCAGCTGCAAAATGCTAAAATCTGTTTGGGATTGCACACCTGCTTATTTCATACATAAAATGTTAAATGTAAGTTATTTTAGATAGCCTTTGCTATCTGCTTCTCTCTCCTTTAGGATCTCATCCCTCTTTCCCATTTAACCTTAACCCTTCACACCAAGTAAATAAATATATAATAAAATAATACAGCATTTGGAGCCACCATGGAGTTCACTCATTGTCCTCTTGCCTCTATTCCCCCTTCCATGAAAACAGGGGAGGTTATTTAGCCATGTCAAACTCTTCAGGGCAGTCTGTTAATGTTTATGCCCTACCCAGATATTCTCATTTAGTTCATAAGCATAATTTTGATATAAAAGACCATTAATAACTATTACTTTTCAATTGCTTTATGGCTAATGGCACACGCCTGTGAATTCAGAACATTTTTTTAAAGCAAGCTGACAGTCTGCTTATGGCAGGCAACTCACTTATGCAAATTCCTACAGAAACAAAATATTAACAAATGACAACTGGATAGTGTTTAATTTTTTTAAAAGATGTGCTGATCTTACTAATTAATTAAACAGCAGTTTCTGAAAACTCAGCTGAGCCACCACTGTGGCTACTAAAGCCTCAACAAATTCACTTATATGTGAGAACAGCTATATCCCACAGCAAACAGGAAGCAGCCAAAAAACTTGGTTCTGTTTTAAAGGAATTAATGGTCAAATTATTTTAAGGATTGGGGTATAAATGCTGAAAGATACTCATGGGCCAGATATTCTCTTGCAGTGGTGCTGGGCTTAAATTGAGTTGCATTGACTTAGACCATGTAAGCTCATGTCTCTTCAGCTGTGAATGAGACAAAGACATTTCAGTTTCACCACAGCAGGAGGATTTTAACAGCCTGACAGAACCATTCCTCCATGCTCCATCCTAATTTTAAGCGCAAGCACAATAAATCCCATGTTGCTTTTTCTGGTACCTCTTTCCCCAGTGAATCTGTTGTATAGCCCACTCCACCTTAATAAACTTCTTTTTATGTTCAAATTACATAACCAAGTCCTAATCATGCTGGGTATTCATATTATTAACTTCCTTTAAAATCTGTGTTAAGGAATTTAACTGAGGAGCAATTAATGGCAAATTAAAATTAATTAATTTTTCTATTGTGTGCTGGAGAAGATCAGTTTAATGTTTTCTATGTTAACAATGCCTTTTGCATGAAATTTTAGACATTTCCTTCTGATCCTCTCTGCACTGGCAAGAAGATGTAAAGGTTGGCACAGCCTCATTGCCAGATTCCTTACTCTGAGAAGAGTCAGCCCCTTTTTATGCTACAGGTTAAACCAGTGGGATGTGCTCCCACTCTCACCCGCCCAAGAACACCCCCCACCACATCAGCATGGACTGTGCCTTGGTGGCAATGCTTCCCAGCACCCTGGGAAAACGGAGGAAGGGGATTTCAGAGCATCCTGGGAGTGGGGAGGATGGGAAAGAAGCTGAGGTGACCCAGCAGGCCGTGGTCACTCACCGTGCTCTCGTGCTGGTCGTAGCCGATGTCCTCGATGGCTCGGATGTTGATGATGTGGATGCCCTTCTCCTCAGCAGGCAGACAGGAGTACTTCTTGTTCACCCTCATTCCTGTCTCCTCTGGAGCCTCACTGAGATCTTCTGGCAGAAAATCCACCCCATGAAACTCGCTGTCTCCGTCTGAGAAGGAAGGGAACAATTTTATCAAGACACTTTAATCCCAGCTTGCTCCTCCCAGAGCCACCCAAAAGCTGAAACGTATCCTGTTCCTGCCCTCTCCTGCCAATGAGCCCTTGGACAGGGCTCCCACCCCCTCTCCCTTCCTCCCTTCTCAGCTTTCCTCAGCCCTCTTCAGCCCTACCTGGGTCTCCTCCTCCTCCAGAGCAAGAGAGCTCAGTTACCTTTTATCCTGCATGGGTGTCTCAGGGTGTTTTTCCTCTGTGGGCTCATGGAATCATTGTGTTTCTTGGCAAGAGAAGGAAAAGGGGGGGCAGGAAGGGAAAAACTGCTGTTGAGGAGAGGTGCCATGGTGCCTTTCCCTTTTCAGGAGGCATTTTTTCCTTTAACTCGTTCATGATGAAAAACTAAGTCAGGGGTTTTCCCTCAAGTACCTACATCCTGCATCTCATTTACTGAACCACTCTTTATTTAAATAGTCTTGAAAATCTGGGGGTTTCTCAGTCTCAACCTGTTTCTGATGAAGACATCAGAACTGTTTCCATTTCCTGTTTAAGTATATAGATAGGCTAAAGGATTTTAAATAAAAATTTCACTACAAACTGAGCAACCAGATAAGTTACAGAATGCAAACTGGTGTTTGCATATGGGCACTTATGCAAGCAATAGAAGGCAAAGTGTTCCAAGATTTTGTTAATTTTGACAGTGAAATAAAATACTGCAGTATTGTACCCTTTTTTTTTTTTTTTTTTGAAACCACATAGGAGGAGGGTTTGCTTGTCTAAAAAGTGAAGATAAAGCAAGAATTTTAGAATTTATGGATACTAAATTAGCTTTCCCAAACAACAAAAACCATGAAACTGAATTACCCTGTCTGGGCCCAGTTGAACTTCAGGGATAATGTTGGGGGAAGAGACAAAGAAAATCCCCACTCCGCAGCAAATTTGCAGGTGATGTGAAACTGAGGAGCAGGATTGATAAACTGGAGGGTAAGGCTGCCACTTCAAGGGGTCTGGACAGGCTGGAAAAATGGAAAGCCAAAAAAGTCCCCCACTTATGCAGCCCAAAGGAGGGAAGGCAAATGATGGGAGTCCTATTCCTGCCTTCAACCAACTGAGTAGGTACAGACAGCAGGGCCAGATTCTTCTCACAGGTGAAGAATGAGAAAAGGGTGAGAGGCTACAGACACAAGTTGCAACAAGGGAAATTACAACAAAACATTAAAAAAAAAAAAAAACAACTCAATTTTCTAACAAGTGATCACACAAAGGGGAAGGAACCAGTGAAGCTACAAATCTCCATCCATCCCTGGAGAAGGTCAGAGCTTGATCCCACCTGCCCCAGTCTGAATGTTGGGAAGGCACTGCAATAATCACTACACTTCTGATCAGGCTCTTCCTGGGAACAAGGCAGCAGCCAGCAAGGACAACAGCCTGCAACAGGCAGAGGAGGAGGATGCAACCAAAGCCTTGGCACCTGTCCTGAGCTGATCAGAGCAAGGTAAACATTACTGTTATGAAAGCCATGCTTCTGTGGAATTCACAGTTGCGCTCCTCCGGAGCTTGCCAACGCCACGAGTCTGTGGATGTGTGGATGTTCATTCCAGTTCTGGGCAATCTGCTGCCCCAAGCTGCTTTCCCAGGAACACCAGTGCTCATCAACATCATCACAACACCTGGGCAGCAATCACCCTCTGCATATTCATGTGCACAGCTTGTAACACCCACACCTTCACAGACCTGGGCTGCTGCTCCTGGCTGTTGTCTAACACCCCTCAACAGCTGTCCCAGAACAGACACCACTCGTGACATCTCAGGGCAGCATCACCAAACTCAGAGAGCCACTTGAACAGCAATTTGTAACAACTCAAGGAGCTTTTTTTGGGGAGTCATCTAGAGATGCAGCCAGAAGCCTGCTGGCCCATGGGAGCAGCTGGAATGTTTGTACCAATTCCCTACATGTGCATGGTCTCTTCTTCCCAACACTCACAGGCACATATGGGCAGCCTCCCTGAACAATGGGAATTTGAAACAAGTGTGGGCAGCTGCAAAATCCTGTGTACTCAAGGCTTTATTCTGTGGCTGCAAAATACTCATAAAATAATACAACTTTTGGAACTCCATCACTGCAACAACCTGCATTTTCATCTGGAAGGATGCTGGAAACAGCTTTGTAAAAACAGTGGATTAAGTGCAGAGTAAGTCCTCTCTTCTTTCCCTCCTTTTCACACGTGTACTAAGTAAAACCCAGTTATTTCAGAATTTTGCAGAAGGTATTAGAAGAGAAGCACCTTTTACTGACTGTGAATCTGAATAATGGAGCTGTGAACTGAAAAGTGTCAGTTTAGGAATCACCACTGGGACAGAATAGGCTCAGAGGAGAAAATCACAAGCTTCACTGAGCCCAAACGACCTCCCTGTGCTCTGGAGCTGCAGTTCCAAGCAGAGTTTGTTAAGCCCCAGCACGGAGCAAGGAGACCTGCTCAGATGATTCAGCACCATTGTGCAAGCCCAAACAATCCCCCCGACACAAGGAGATATTTACATTCCTGTTTACACATCAGTAGCCTGGCAATACTGGAAAGAACACGTGCTTCAGGTAGGCAATGAATCATAGAATTTTGGTTTATTATGACTACTGGAAAATATGTGAGCTGTGAGAGCTTTCTTGATATAATCTTAATTACAAGAAGTTTGATTTCTGCACTTAAGGATGATGTCAGGATTTAATCCTAAGTAAAGCCATCCAAACCACTTTGGTAATTACAAGCAGTTCACTTGTGCTGATTTGGCACAGGTCAAAGCCTTCTGTTGCAGAACACAAAACCTCTTCTTTTTTTTTTTTTTTTTTTTTTACATGGAGTAGTGCATTTCAAAGACTTCAAACCATGAATATTTTATGTTAATCACATTAAACACAGACAATAATTTAATCTCAAAATGAATTCACGTCCAGAATTATTTATGGCAGGATAGAAGAGGAAAGGTGAGGAGCAAGAAGAACAATAATGTCCTAATTCAGCTAGACTAACATTGTAATCTCTTTGTTGGGAGCTGAAAGAGGTGAGCATTATGAAAACTGCTGGCTTTGCTGCCTTCTGATGCTGACTAACCCTCTCTCTTCTATTTATTAAGCAGAAAACACTACAACAAAGACTTGAAGGAGCACTCAATGTATTTCAACACAGCCATAAAGCCAATCCCAAACCCCTGTGGATTCTGAGTCAGCAGAAGTCCCCTAATATTCTGGGGCACAGAGTCAAACCCATGCCTGAGCCTCTCCCTCTGAACCATATGGGAAACAAGACTGAGCTAATAAAAAAGTCCCTCAAACTCAAAACCACTTCCTCCTCTGTTCAAATTTCAGTCGCAGCTGTTAAAATTCCTAACCTCATCTTGCAAAAATTAACACTAAAATTAATTAATGATCACTTTTTCACCACTGAAATTTGTCACACTGTGCTGTAACCTTTCCTCATTCAGACAATGCTTCACTCAATGTTGATGACCAGCTGAACCAGGACCAAAAACCTGTTGTAGAAACCAATGCATTTTCTCCATGATTAAATCACCCATTAACATTATAGTCATAACCATGCACAGCCACTGAATAGTCCCTGGCAAAAAGTATTTTTGTCATTAAAATGAATTTTAAAATTGCATTCATGCAATGCAACTCTTAAAGAAATACCCTGCACCAGTTCTAAAATAAGCATCATCAATTCAGCATGGGTACATCTAAACAAATGAACAACATTTCCCTGCTCAACCTGAAACCAGTAGTGTCACTGAAACTGCCTTCCCTTGTTTGCTTTTTCTTTTTTTTCCTGGTCTCCTCTTGTTTTCACTTTTAGAGAGTATGTTTAAGAAAGTGGTAGAACAAAAAAAAGTCACAAAGACCTCGGAGTTAAAAAGGGAAAGCAGCAGGAGAGGTACAAGTCCATGTGATTCAAGGCTTTTAAGTGTCTAAGTCCTTATCTTTTTGCTTTATATAAACCACGATAGAATTCAGAATGAAAAATTAAGAATCATGGAGGTAATGAGGAAGCATATTAAGAAAGTAATGTACACACATATATATATATACATATGGTAAAAGAAACAAACACAACCTATAAGTAAATGTTGTAAATAAGTAAACAAATAAAGTATACTCCTTCTATGGGGAAAAAAAATGTTAGCTGGTGCAAAACATTGGATAACTTTTGGATTTAAGCTCTTTTCTTGAAGAAAAGATAAGATACTGAGATAAAACTCCTTTAGTGGGGTTTTGCTTGCTACATATTGCCCCCTAGCAGCAGGATCCTCCTCCAGCACATCCTCACCCAGCTCTCTACCGCCTGTATCTCCCAAATTCCAACTCAGAGGTTAATCCTAAGAAAAAACCCATCATCCTCACAAGTGAGTCGCCTATCTCTCCCCCGTTTCCTTCCCCTAATACACTCCAAGGCTGTCAGATTTGGAAGGCAAAGCCCTGGGAGAGCAAGGCCAGCCCAGCAGGCTCAGAGCGCCAGCCCGGCTCAGCCCGGCTCGGCTCAGCCCTGCGGCCGGGGAGCCGTGCCCGGGAATGCCAGCCAGCAGGCTGCAATGCCAGCGAGGATACCCGCTGCTGGCAGCGAGGGCAGCTCTTTTTTTGGGATGCTGACACCTGTTTACGAGGCTCTGGCCCCGGACCAACAGAGCTGCCGTGCTCTCCCAGGAACACCCGCACACGTCCCGAACTCTGCTCTGCCCAAATCCTGACAGCAGGAGCTCATTAGCGCCGCATCAGGGACAACTGGATGTAAATCCCCCCTCGCCCCTCCAGCTGTGAGCAGCCAGATGTTGCCCCGAGCTGTGCTGCTGGTGGAGAGGCAGCAGCTCTCATTGGTACCGCCCGGCAGGAAAAGGGAGCCCACCTCCCCTGGGGCAAACTTAATGTTGACACCTCCTG